GAGTGCTAGGATTACAGGCGTGAGCCATCACGCCCAGCCTAGCCTGGCCTCTTTAAAATATCAGTGTTAGTAACCAGTACGATCTGCTCCATCTGGGGGATGGACATGCTTGAAGCTCTGACTCAGCAGAGTGGGGAGGAGGGGCAAGGTAACACAGGTAACCTAAACATTTGTACCCCCATAATATGCTGAACTAAATAAAATTCTTAAAAAGAAAAAAATAAATAAATAAATAATTTTCAAATAGAAAAAAATATCAGTGTTAGGAAAGACTTTTTTAAAAGTTTGGTTGTGAGAGGGGAGCTCTCTTGATTAAAGACCACTGAAGAGGCATGACAATCAAATCCTTGACTAGACATTGGATGGTGGGGGGAGGGAGAGGAAGCATCTATAAAGACCTTTTTGGAGAAACTGAAGAAATTTGAACCAGACTGTATATTAGATAATAATATTGAATCATTTTAAATGCCTTAAATGTAATAATAATACTTTGCTTATGTCAGAGAATGTGCTTGTTTTTAGATAATACAAACTGAAATGTTTAGAGGATAAATATAACAATGTCAACAACTTAATTTCAATTGTTTCAACAAAAACAAAGTGGGTATATGTGCATGGGTGTGTGTGTGAGAGAGAGAGAGAGAACACACATCACTAAATGTTATCAAATGGCAAAACCACTTGAAGGGTACTTGAGTATTCCCTGTACTATTCTTTCTACTTTTATGCAGGATTGGAATTTTCAAAATAATGAACATTTTATTTCAAAAATAAAGTTAAAAGCTTTATAACCACATTTAGCACTTGCAATTAAGAGATTACACTCCCAAGGAATTACCAGAAAACAATTGAATTATTAAGTTACATTTGTTTCCCTCTTTATCTATTGATTTGGTCAAGTGACCAAAATTGATTGGTAGCAATTAAAAATATGCCATGAGGCAGAGTCCTGGACATTAAATCACAATAAGACAAACTTATAGGGAAATATATATGGCATTTTACCTCCTTTTTGCTTTCTTCCTAACTAATCAGAGTAGAAATCTTTGGCAAGCCAAAGTAATAGATAAGTACACTTCAGTTGTATAACAATCCATCAAAGTTATCAAGACAAAAGGCTGTTTTGTAGATGGTCTTCTCTGAGGAATCTGGAAAATCTGAGCCTTCTACTGATAGGGACTGAAGAATCTAGGCTGTCCTTCTGGGTAAGAACCAGAAACAAACAAAGTTCAACTTGACCTAGAGATTTTGTGGCATAGCTCCAAAGTGGAGACTGTGCCCATTGGGAGTTTCCATTCCCTTCCTCCTGGTTTTGTACTTCCTCTCCTCTGCTAGGTGGAGAGAGATCATGTATTAGCAATATAATGCATCAAGCTTGCTATTAGTGAGTTTGTTTTGGTGTTCCATTATGAAAGATCTAAGCCTTCCTCGTAATGATGGGAAACATACTAGACTGCCCTGGCAGGAAAAAAGGTCATCTTGATCTCAAGAACCTTGTGACTATCTGCCCCATCAGGAGGTCTGAGAAGTAAAAACCCTAGAATAGACTACAACTTTAAGAAAGAGTGGAGAAAGAGAAAGAGTGGAGTCTATAGAGAAATAGGATTCCCAAATACTCAATGAAGAGAAACTTTTTTTAAAAAAATAAACCACTGTACCACTATATGGTGTATAGTAAAACAGGTTCAGGAGCTGTGCTGCCTGGTTTGGAATCCCAATTCTGTCTCTTTACTAGCTGTCCAATGTTTACTAGCTGAATGATCTTGAATAAGTCATTCAACCTCTCTGTGCTTCGGTTTCCTCATAAGTAAAATAGAGATAATAATAGTACCTATCTTGTAGGTTTGTAGTAAGGATTAGACATGTTAATGCATACCATGCATGTAGTAGACACTCTACTCAGCCGTTTGTCCTGTAGACTTCATGCATGAATGTTGATCAGTTCATTTCTTTCTGATAATAGTATCTGCATATCTTTCTGGCATAACCAAGGGGTTATATATGAATAAGTATAATCTCTGAACCAGAGACACACAGGGGAAGGAAAGAGTATGTCATTTGAATACTAAGAAAAGACTGAACAAACTTGGGGAGTTAAAAGACATGTATAGGAGTAAGGATCCATACAATAATCATGTCTCCAGGTATAGGCAAATACTATTCAGAATACTCATAACAGAAAGTAAATTTTACCACCCCATTATGTGGTACTCTGTGGACTTTTTCAAACAAAAGCACAGAACATCTTCCTTTGAGGCATTTGTCTAAGAACTCAGTGTTGAACAGATTACACCTATATTTAAGATAACTGGTATTAATATGGGCAGAATGGAATACATAAGCTAACTGTTCCACCAGGTTCCATTAAATTCAGCTCTAGATATATATTGTTTTCTGGAAATTTAACTCATGACAGACTAGATTCCAATGGCTTTTTCCCTTAGCTAGCTCCACTAGCTCTCAAAGGTAGGGCTTTGCCTCAGGTTTTTACTTAGGCTCACAGAACTGCTTTGCCTTAGTAATGTTTTTTAAGTTTCTAAAAAAGAAAATCCATTTGAGGAAATTGACCTTATGCTTTCCAATGTCCTTTACCCAAGGAGAAGATTTTCCTAGAATTTGATGCCAGGAAAAAGTTTAAATCTCAGGAAAATTTCAATGCTTCTTTTATCAGACAGTAAGAATTTAGTAATGCATCATGATTTGCTTTTTGTCCTGTTAGTTTCCAATTGCATTAAACTATCATACCATAGTCAATTCATTTATATATTCAGATGTTTAATAAATGTGAATGAAAGGAAAGGACAGTGGATGGCAACTATGTATAACTGTATTCCAGATGAAAATAATAGAGATAAGGAGAGATTACTGGCTCATATATATAATCCCAGCACTTTAAAAGGCTAAGGTGGGAGGATTGCTTGAGGCCAGGAGTTTGAGACCAGCCTGAACAACATAGCGAGACCTCATTTCTATAAAAAATAAAAAAGTTATCCAGATGTAGTGGTGCACATCTGTAGTTCTAGCTATTCGGGAGGCTGAGACAGGAGGATCTCCTGAACCCAGAAGGATCACCTGGTCAGCAAGGAATAGCCTCCTCCAGCTATGCCTTGAAGGGGGGGAGGGGGGGAGAGGGGGAGAGGGAGGGGGAGAAAGAGGAGGAGGAGAATTATTCTTTAGATAGTTCACTTAATGGTCTCCAGTTCCATCTTTCTTATTGCTGAGTACTCCATTGGTATGTAAGTATATATATATATATATAGAGAGAGAGGAGAAGAGAGAGGAGATATACACCACATTGCCTTTATCCGCTCATCAGCTGATGGGCATTTAGGTTGATTCCTCGTCTTCGCAATTATAAATTGTGCTGCAATAAACATACCAGGACTGCACATTTCACATTCCTTGCCCTTCTCCAGCTTCTCTCTGAAGCCCCTTTGTCTTCAGCCAGCCAAGGGGAGGGGAGTAGAGAAGAAAATGCACTGGGACTTGGGACTGAGGTAACTTCTTGTCTGTTGGTCATCCCTGTTTCCTCAGTGAGCCTTGCAGCCTGTGAGATAAGTACAGTAGTTCATTTAGTTGAGCTTGCTCTGTTCTTTTAAAGTCTCCGTGCCTTCAATCACCCTGCTCCTTTAGTCCAGAATGCCCTTCTCTCCCAACTCCACCCCTTCAAGACTCATCTAGTTATTAGGATCCTGCAAGCAATCTTTCTGGAGTTTCTCAGCCCTTTTTGCTATGCCCCAAGTAACCCATTGGAGCACACATTCAAAAGTTGAACAAACGTCTATTGAGTGCCTACCATGTGCCAGGTACTGTTTCAGGGCCTAGGCATAGAACTTAGAACAAACCAGATAAAAATCCTTATCCTTGTGGAACTGCTATTCTACAGGAGAAGACAGACAATAAGTAGTAAACAAATAAGTAAGAAAATGATATGGTATGTTAGAAAAGGAAACAAGAGGGGAGTGGGGTTCCAATTTAAGTGGAAGGGCAGAAGAGCTTTATTGAGAAGATTGGAAGGACTGGGAGAGCAAGCTGTATGGCAGCCTACGGGAGGGACGGGTAGGCTGGAGGAACAGGAAAGGGGCCATCATGACTGGAGCAGGAGAGTGGGTGAAGAGGTTAGGGAGGTTATGGGTGGCGGGATTGCATCATGTCTGGCAGGCCACTGCAAAGACCAGAGTTTTTACTCTGAGTGGAATAGGAAACCATTGCAGGGTTTTATGGAGAGGTGGGACATAATTTGACATTTTTAAAAATACCTGTCCACGGATTGCTCGAGGTCAGGAGTTCGAAACCAACCTGAGCAAGAGCGAGACCCGTCTCGACTATAAATAGAAATAAATTAATTGGCCAACTAATATATATAGAAAACATTAGCCGGGCATGGTGGCGCATGCCTGTAGTCCCAGCTACTCGGGAGGCTGAGGCAGGACGATTGCTTGAGCCCAGGAGTTTGAGATTGCTGTGAGCTAGGCTGATGCCATGGCACTCTCTCTAGCCTGGGCAACAAAGTGAGACTCTGTCTCAAAAAAAACCACCTGTCCAGCTGCAGTGCGAAATATAGACAAAGAAAGGGGAAATCAAGAAGCGATTGCAATAACGCAGGAGAGGCATGAGGGTCTGGACCATGGTGGCAGGTATGGAAGTCATAAGATGAGCATTTATTTAATTCAAGTTGTGGCATTCACTTTGGCTTGTATTAAATGCATGGCTAATAAGCTTCCACAGCGGGTTTTTGCACCTTGGGTTTCAGGGAATGATAGTGATGGGGCGGGGAGCTGGGAAAGTCCGAGTTACCAATAAGACAGAGAGCCTCATGGATCTGAAAACCTGACAGTTCTATGCCTCTAAGCTTCTGGCGCAGCAAAAATTCTGCAGCCCAGCCCGCCACCCGTTTCCCCGTGACCATGCGCAACAGGCAGGCGGGAGCCTATGGAAAGCACCTGACTTTCGGAAAGCCAGACGAGCGAGTTCGGGGAATCGCAGATCGGTACCTTTGCGCAGGCGCAGTGGCCGCCGCGGGCTTGCGCGCGCAGCCGCTGTGGGACAAGCTTTTGGGAGCTCCTTGCGGGGGATGTTGGTGCTGGCTGCGGATGCTGGTGCAGGTATCGGTTGTCCCAGATCCCTAGTTTTGGGGCCACGGCCGGGTCGCCGGCTCCGAGGATGCACCGGGGCAGGGATGGGTGCCGAGAGCAGCAGACCGACCTGGCTGCGCGCTGCGGACGCTGCTGCTGCTGTGGCCGGTGGGCGCTCTGCTGCGTGACGGAGCCTTCGGCTTCCCTCCATCCTCTCTGCGTCCGTGGGGTTCGCAGGTTCGGTGCCGTTGACAGTTGGGCGAGATGATTCCTTGCTTTGTTTTTGTTTTTGAGACAGAGTCTCGCTGTGTTGCCCAGGCTAGAGTGAGTGCCGTGGCGTCAGCCTAGCTCACAGCAACCTCAAACTCCTGGGCTCAAGCGATTCTGCTGCCTCAGCCTCCCGAGTAGCTGGGACTACAGGCATGCGCCACCATGCCCGGCTAATTTTTTCTATATATATTAGTTGGCCAATTAATTTCTTTCTATTTATAGTAGAGACGGGGTCTCACTCTTGCTCAGGCTGGTCTTGAACTCCTGACCTCGAGCAATCCTCCCGCCTCGGCCTCCCAGAGTGCTAGGATTACAGGCTTGAGCCACCGCGCCCCGGCCAATGATTCCTTGTGTGTTGGGGAGGGTGGGGAGTGTGGAGTGGTTTTCCCGTTATCTCAGGATGTGCAGCAGCACCCCCGCTCTACCTTTGAGATACCAGTAGCACCTCTCCTCCCCAGTCGTGGTACCCAATAATGTCTCTAGACGTTGCCGAATGACCCCGGAGCGGGGAGGGTGTGTGTGTGTGTGCAAAAGCTCTCCTTTTTTTCGTTTCTTCGGTTGAGAACCTCTGCCTGCGTCATGTTTTCACTGAGCCTCTGTGTAAGCTCCCTGGAGACGGAGTCCAGGGTGTCAGTCACTGCGAAGCCACAGGTGCCCAGCACGGTGCCAGGTACATGGTGGGCGCCTCATAGTTGGCAGAGGAATAAATGACGTCATGTGTGCTGTGTGCTATGTGCCGTGCTTCGTGCTCGGAGATGGGTAATTATTGGTATGGTAATGGCAATGGGAGGCGCACATCTTTCCCCTTGCCGCATTGTAGTACATCTCTCCGGCTGTGTTGTTTCCTGGACCCCCTGTGAGGGTGAGGACCCTTTCAGGCCAGTCCAGGTCTGGCCCCCAGTGGCCTTCCCATCACATTGTAGCTGCACAGTCATTTGCGGATTGAATGAATGCATGCAACACAGGATAGTCTGTGTGCAAGGGAGTGCTTTGGAATTAAAGAGAGATTCACACAAGAGGTGGCAGTTGAAGAGTCAAGCTTTGAAGAATGAATAAAAGTTTGGAAAGAAGGCAACATTCTGAGGAGAGGGGAATAGCCCTGGTGCAAAGGATAGGAGGGTACAGAGTGTCTGGGTATGGGGAGCTATTTCTTTATGGATGCAGTGTCAATCAGGGGTAGCTAGAGCTAAAGAGGTGAGGTCAGGCTGGGGGTGGTGGCTCACGCCTGTAATCCTAGCACTCTTGGAGGCCGAAGTGGGCGGATCGTTTGAGCTCATGATTTCATGACCAGTCTGAGCAAGAGCGAGACCCCATCTCTACTAAAAATAGAAAGAAATTAATTGGCTGATATATATATATATATATACACACACACACACACACACACACACATATATAAATTTAGCCGGGCATGGTGGCACATGCCTGTAGTCCTAGCTACTCGAGAGGCTGAGGCAGGAGGCTCACTTGAACCCAGGAGTATGAGGTTGCTGTGAGCTAGGCTGTCGCCATGGCACTCTAACCCTGGGCAACAGAGACTTTGTCTCTTTGAGACAGAGACTCTGTCTCAAAAAAAAAAAAAAAAGGAGGTGAGGTCACCCAGGCAGTGTCTCTGCGTGGTCTCTGTGTTTGAGCTTTATCTAAAGACGGTTGAACCAGTGAGGGATTATAAGCAGGGGAGTGATAGGATCATATTTTGTAGATTGGAAGGAATTATTTGGCTACAGTATGAGAAGATTGTATTGAAGAAGCCTGTACTGAGGCAGTTGCTGTAGGATATAATGGAGAGGTTCTTAGGAAATAAAGTCACCAGAACTTGATTATTGATTATGTGAGAAGTAAGGGGTAAGAGAAATTTGAGAGTCAAATATGAAATCGGCCTTTTGAGTTGAGCAACTGGTGGGAAATGTGTGGCCAGTCATTGAGAGAAGGCAAAAGATGTTAAACAGGCTTGTGTGTCATGGGGATCCTCTTGTAAACCGTGGGCCTTTTCTGATATTTTTTGCTTATGAAGATGATTAATTTTGAAGCAACTGTTTCCTTGGAGGATACCTATATTAACCCTTAATTAATTCCTCAGCTTTCGATCTATAAAAAAAATTATCCTTTTAATATAGTAGTTGGGCAGGGCTATCCTAGGCTTCTGAGAGTATATGTATGGATCTGTATGTCTGAACCAAAACAAGAACAATGTTTTTAGCATTAACAACAATTGGTCTCACTTATTTAACACCTTAATATTTTTTCTTGACAGTTTCTGCAAAACTATAAACTGAATTCCTGGAATCTTCATATTTTGCTGTATATAATGCCTGTTGGTGAACTGTACTGATAGCCAGCTAGAGTCTAAAGGGGACTGCATTCCTGCTCATGATACACAATGGAAGCTGTAGTGCCCTTGAACGAGATGACAGCCATCTCATCAGACCCTCAAACGCTGGCCTCGAGTAAACAAAACAAGGTCCTAAGGATGGACACTTCTGGGAACCAAGAAGCTAATTTAGGAGGAGAGACTGTTGATTGAGAGTCTTTAAGACAGAGGTTCAGGTGGTTTCGTTACTCAGATGTAGCTGGGCCCAGGAGATCCCTGATTCAACTGTGGGAACTCTGCACTCAGTGGCTGAGACCAGACATTCACACGAAAGAACAGATGATACAGCTTTTGGTGTTTTAGCAATTGCTCACCATTTTGCCTGGGGAGATCAGGATGTGGGCAAAGTCACAATATCCTGAGAATCCTGAGGACATGGTGACCTTAATAGAGGATTGGACCCAAACGCTTGGAAGAAAAAGGTGAGCTTTAAGACAGAGGGAAGAGGTGGGAGAAATCACCTTAGGGTAAGAAAGTAAACTCAAAAGAAAGCAATTTACTGCTAAGAGGAGTCTGAGTTTTGGAGTTAGAGCTGGCTTAGACTCAGACCTACTATATTTACTGTGTGATTTGGGCAAGCTAGGTAATCTTAAGAATTTAAATATTTCTATCTGTGAGAAGGAGCTACCGTCTTTTCTGTAGTTTTCTTACAAAGGTTAAACAACATAAAGTAGAATTACTTTCTTTCTCGAAAAGCAAGATAAAGTAGCATATATGGTGGATGCTTAAGAAATATTAATTTCTTTTCCTTCCCCTTCAAGAACACAGGAGTGAAAGAAGTTATCTGTGAAAGCATTTGGAGTCACAGCATCTCAGCCAACCCGGGCCTCAGTGTGTAGCTCCAGTGTATGCACCAGCGCATTACTGGAACAGGGCTGTCCAACATATTTGTTGATGGAAATGTATTCTGCACTGTTTTGCAATTCAAGTTAAGCACATGAAACGTGGCTAGTACAAATAAGGAACTGAATTTTTCATCAACTTAAACAGCCAAATGTGGGTAACATCTACCCTATTTTATAGTGTAACTCCACAGCCTTAGGGGATGAACAACTGAGTTATATTTTTATAATTACATTATTATAAATATACCTTTTTTTTTTTTTTTTGAGACAGAGTCTCACTCTGTTGTCCAGGCTAGAGAGAGTGCCGTGGTGTCAGCCTAGCTCACAGCAACCTCAAACTCCTGGGCTCAAGGGATCCTCCTGCCTCAGCCTCCCGAGTAGCTGGGACTACAGGCATGCGCCACCATGCCCGGCTAATTTTTTCTATATATATTAGTTGGCCAATTAATTTCTTTCTATTTATACTAGAGACGAGGTCTTGCTCTTGCTCAGGCTGGTTTCGAACTCCTGACCTCGAGCAATCCACCCTCCTCACCTCCCAGAGTGCTAGGATTATAGGTGTGAGCCACCACGCCCGTCCTATTATAAGATAAATGTGTAAAATATAAACTATGAACTGTAACAGTGATATCATTTTAAAATACTGATATAAAGACTTCTAGGAAAGATAGTCCTTTTATGAAATTGCTCAAATATGCTATAAGTATTTATATTTTGTAGTATAATATGCAATAAATCGATTTGTATTTATACAATGATTTGCAGTAAATATTTGTAGCATATTGTTTACCACAGGGCTCCTAATACATATGTGTAATAGTTTGTTCTGCCGAGAGTTCTGACAGAGATAGGGAAATGAATAGTATTTAACTCCGTAGACTTAATTTGTGGTCAGTCACAGAGCTAATTGGTGTGTCTAAAGTTGGGGTTTCCTGACTCCTCTCTGATTTGTCATTGTAACATGGTACTTATCCAAAGTTAGGGCTTCTGTGTAGAGGCCCCTTCAATAAAGAATTGATTTCCAGCATCTGTAATGTAGAACATTTTCCTTAAATTAATCTCTCTTTTCTCTTTGTGTTTTTTTTGTTTTTGGTGTTTTTTTTTTTGTTTTTTTTTTAAGATAGAGTCTCACTTTGTTGCCCAGGCTAGAGTGAGTGCCATGGCGTCAGCCTAGCTCACAGCAACCTCAGTCTCCTGGACTCAAGCAATCTTTCTGCTTCAGCCTCCCAAGTAGCTAGGACTACAGGCATGTGCCACCATGCCCGGTTGATTTTTTTCTATATATATATTAGTTGGCCAATTAATTTCTTTCTATTCTTGCTCAGGCTGGTTTCAAACTCCTGACCTCGAACAATCCGCCCGCCTCGACCTCCCAGAGTGCTAGGATTACAGGCATGAGCCACCACTCCCGGCCTCTCTTTTCTCTTTGATTACATAATTATAATTACTAATTTTTATTTGCTTGTCTAATCAGTAAAACTTCCTAAAATTCTTTTCACAAGAAGGTAGTATATGATTTGAAAAATACTTTTCCCTTATTTGAAAAAGAGCTGTTTGACATCTGAGGGTATTTAATACATTTAGTGCATATGCGTTTAGGTGCTGTTTTTTGGTCTTTAGGAATCTATGGGTGATCCCAAAGGTGGAGTCTGCTGTTCTTGAGACCAGCTTGGTGCTTTCATTCAGTAAACAGTTTTGAGTGACTTGAGCAAGGCATTGTGCTAAGACAATGAAGAAAAAAAATTAATAGATAAAAGGAATATGCTATTTTACTGTAATACATCTTTTAAATTAGAAATATTTCAAAACTGACTGTGCAAATTAGTTAGTTTAAAATTGAGGATATATGGAAGGAAAAAAATCAGTTTTTCTGAATTGAAAAGATTTTTATATGGAGTAGGGAAAAAAGTCCGGGTATTTATAGGAAAATGTCTGTGGCTATTCTCTGTTTTAAAGAGTGGGAAAACTTTTTGTTACTTCTGACCTTTTTATCCAGATAGGCTCACAGTTATTTTACTCCTTGTAATTTCCTAGCCAACTAGAGTTATAAGAGTATCTTTTGTTAAAATAGTTGGCCTTTTGTCCTGGGTTCCTGAAACAGCTCCAGAATAGCTCCAAGAGCTGTAAAGGGGAAAGACAGTCTTTTTTGTTATTTATAACAAGCCCCTTTTAACCATACTAGTGTTTATGTTAATGAGGTGATTTTTGGGAAGTCCCTATATAACTGTGGGGGGCCTGCTTGCCAGGGAAACCAACCTGGTGTTTAGAGGGTCAGAACTCAGCCCCACCATCCAACCTCTGGGAAGGAGAGAGGGACCAAAGGTCTAATTGATCACCAGTGGCCAATAGTTAATCAGTCTTGGCTATGTATGAAGCCTCCAAAAAAAAAGAACAGGTTTGGTAAGAGTGTCCAGATAGCTGAACCTGTGGAGGCTCCTGGGGGTTGGTGTGCCTGGAGCAGGCATGGAAGCCCCCAACCCCTTCCCAAATACTATGAGTCTGTTAACCTGAAATAATCAAAAGTCTCAGGATCCAGTTAAAAGAACTTATGTAAGCAGGGACATACCTACACCAAAGAATGGTGATCAGTGCTCCCAGTGTGGGGAAAAGTGAAGATGGTTTATATAGGTAAAGAGGTGCTGAACAGAATTTCATTTTCCACACTAAAGCTAACATAGTGATAGAAGAATTGATTAGCTACTGTTGATTATACTCTAAGGGGGTGGCTTAACATTTTATTGTAAAGAGGTAAGAATCACAAGGGCCTCTGTTTCCAACCATTATTTAGTCTAGGTTTGAATAAAGAATAGAGAGTCTGGTTAATGTATAACATCTCAACACAAAGGTCAGGAAGCAACATGCATGAAGAAAGATAGCTTGGCACGCGAGCCAATTTCCAGCGCTTAACCTTTCGCCTTGGCATAATACATTTGGAAAGTCCCAAAATTTATTTTCTTTTCACACATCTCTTCCATTTGGCTGTTCATCTGTATCCTTTGTAATGTCCTTTATAATAAACCAGTAAATGTAAAAAAAAAAATAGTTTCCCTGAGTTACGTGAGCCATTCTAGCCAATTATTGGAACCCAAGGAGGGGTGTCATGGGAACCCTGATTTGTAGCTGGTTGGGCAGAAGTTCCAGAGGTCCAGACTTGAGACTGGTGTCTGAAGTAGGGGGCAGTCTTTGAGGGACTGAACCCTTATCCCATGGGATCTGATGCTCTCTCCAGGTATATAGTGTCAGAAATGAACTAAAGTAGAGGACACCTAGCTGTTGTCTGCTGGAGAATCTGCTACAGAATTGCTTGCTTGGTATGGGGGAAGCACGTCTGGGATCACAGAAGCATTCCGTTGAGAGTATACTGGGAAAAACTGACTTGATTTTTTCCCTGTGTATCTCAGAATTATATATATATTATATATAATATATAATATATATATAATAATAATATATATATATTATATATATATGTAATATATATATATACAAGAATTTTTAGTCTGAGGAATCCATTTGAAAGACTGGCTTTTTTTTTTTTCTTACCTTTCTAGATCCAGTCTCTCAAAGTCTGCCATTTCCCAAGAGGAGAACTCAGAAGAAGATACAACAGTTGCTATTCTTCATTCTTACCCCAGTGTAAGTTTCCTTTCACTGGTTTTCATTCTTAAGTGAATACTTAACTGAGCTCCTACTGAGTGCTAAAAAGAAACAAAAATAATTGAGACAGTCTCCCTTTCAAGGAACCTACACCTCTCATTTCACAGGCAATTTTATTTCAGTTCACAGAACATGTCACAGGTCTGACTCTTACACAAAAATATGTACTGAAATTCAACAATTACTCCTGATAAAATTAACCAGATGGAAATATTATCCTTAACATGATAAAGAACATCTCCAGCTCGATAATGTTGGGAAATGGAAAGCAGTCCTCACAATGTCAGTAGAAAGACAAGAGTGTCTAGTCTAACCTCACTGCTGCTAATCAGTGTTTTCTTTCTTTTTTTTCTTTTCTTTTCTTTTCTTTTTTTTTTTTTTTTTGAGTCAGAGTCTCGCTTTGTTGCCCAGGCTAGAGTGAGTGCCGTGGCGTCAGCCTAGCTCACAGCAACCTCAAACTCCTGGGCTCAAGGGATCCTCCTGCCTCAGCCTCCCAAGTGGCTGGGACTACAGGCATGCGCCACCACGCCCGGCTAATTTTTTTTATATATATTAGTTGGCCAATTAATTTCTTTCTATTTATAGTAGAGACGGGGTCTCCCTCTTGCTCAGGCTGGTTTCAAACTCCTGACCTCGAGCAATCCGCCCACCTCAGCCTCCCAGAGTGCTAGGATTATAGGCGTGAGCCACTGCGCCCGGCCAATCAGTGTTTTCTGAATATTTTAGCCAATGTAGTAAGATAAGAAAGAAATGAGATGTAAGTATTGGTATGAATGAGATACATATATACTATTTTCTATTTGGAAAACCTTATAGAAACAACTAAACAAGTACTGAAACGCATGTGGTAGTGGGAAAAACAATTTATAAATCAGTAAGTTTCCTATGTACCAATAATTACCAGTTAGGAATAAAAGTTGTTATTCACAATACTAAATAAGGGTGCTGTGCTAGGCCCACAGTGGCTCCAAAATATATGTCCACTTCCTCTGAATGTTACTTTATTTGGAAGAAGGATCTTTGCAGGTATGATTAGGTTAAGGATTTTAAGGCGAGGGATTTATCCTGGGTTATACAGGTGAGCCCTAAATGCCATTGCAAGCATTTCTTAGAGAAAGGCAGAGGGAGATTGGACACATGCATAGGAAAGGGTAAAGTTAGGCAGAGTTTGGAGTGATGGGGCCACAAGCTGAGGAATGCTGACAGCCACCGGAAGCTCAAAGAGGCAAGGAACCAACTGATTCTCCCCCCAGAGCCTCTGAAGGAAGTGTACACTTGCCAACACATTGATCTCAGACTTCTGGCCTCCAGACCTATGAGAGAATAAACTTGTGTTATTTTAGGCCACTAAGGTTATGGTAATTTGTAATGGCACCAACAAAAAACTAATACAAGTGCCAATAGGCACTCTGCTACACTGCCTCTGAAAAAGCCATAGAGAGGATGCTATAGAAAGTGTGTTTTAATGAGTCAGTATGCTTGTTTCTAACTGTGGAGTAACTGCAAGTGTATGCTATGGAACACAGATTCTCTTTGATTGTGATAGAAAATAATTGCTGCATTTGTAATATAGCTGCTGATATTATTATTATGTATTTAATTATTACCTATAGTTAGCTTAACATGAATTCTGCAAACTTGGGGTTTGGGAATGTAGATTGTATCCTACATTTAATATTTTTCTTTTAATCCTAGAATGAACTTGATCAATGTTAGACATTTCAGAAAATTCTTGTACAGTATTTAACAATAGAGACTGAATGGGAGAGGCAGGGGTTGTTTAATACCCTTCTTGTGGATCACTTATAACAGTCATACAACAGCTATTCTGTAGCTTACTTTGGAACTCTTAAAAACTCAAGTACTGTCAAAACCTTTCTTTATATCTTATCTGCTTCACTGAATTCTTGGGTCTATTTGGAAGTAATCGAATGCAAAAGGACTGTATTTGGTGTTCTAGGAATCCATAACATTCAAGGATGTGACCATGAATTTTTCCAGAGGAGGGTGGAGGAGGCTGGATCCTGCTCAGAAGAAGCTATGTAAGGAGGTGGCATTGGAAAACTACAGGAACCTAGAATTTCTGGGTAAAGGTATCTCTTCATTATCTAGCATTTAAGGTGGGTATTTTTTGTCCCCTTTTATTGAAAGATAAGTGCTATGTAAAGTACTTTGTTGTGGCTGAACATCCAGGGACTAACATGACTAACCCTAAAAATGGGTCTTAAAAATGTGCTTTTTTGCAACATTTCTTCAAAAAAAGGTCTTTAGTTTATCAAATTGAAAATGTGGAGCATCATTTTGCTATTATCAGTGCTATACTTACCCTGTTCTCTCCTTAAAGTCCAGTATTGATGTCCATATATTTAATACCATCTTTTAGCTTCTCTGGAGAACCAGAGGCTATGTATGAATGTTGGGATGTCCTTGTTCTATGCATAAACAGCCATTTTTTATTCTTTTATCTATGAGCAGGCATTCCAGTTTCCCATCTAGATTTGCTTTCCCAGCTAAATTGGATTGACCTGCCATGGCTGCTACAAAAAATAATCTCAAAAAGCTCCACACCAGGTGAGTTGGTAAAAATTAGACAAGGAAATGAAAACAGTGGTTTACCAAGTCTCTTGAGAAGAACTTTTGAAATGTTGAGTCAGCTAGGTGCTAAAATATAAAAATGATTAGAGGCCAGGCGCGGTCACTCATGCCTGTAATCCTAGCACTCTTGGAGGCCGAGGCGGGTGGATTGCTCGAGGTCAGGAGTTCAAAACCAGCCTGAGCAAGAGCAAGACCCCGTCTCTACTATAAATAGAAAGAAATTAATTGGCCAACTAATATATATAGAAAAAATTAGCCGGGCATAGTGGCACATGCCTGTAGTCCCAGATACTCGGGAGGCTGAGGCAGCAGGATTGCCTGAGCCCAGGAGTTTGAGGTTGCTGTGAGCTAGGCTGATACCATGGCACTCACTCTAGCCTGGGCAACAAAGCGAGACTCTGTCTCAGGAAAAAAAAAATAATAAAGATGATTAGAATTGAGCCCTTGCCTTTCTGGAATGTTCATTTTAATGGGGGAGACTATTGGTTTGAATCCTCTCTGGAGTAGATGCCAAGACATGACTAGCCAAACATGGGATTTATTGGGGAAACGTTCAGTGAAGGAAAAAGGAGAGGCAGCTGGAAGAAGCTAGAAGAGCTGTTAGAGCGTGATGGTGGTCTAACCTCTGTGATTGAGAGAGGGAAGGAAGGTAGGTCCAGTAGGAAGAGTCTTAAATTGAAATGCAGTTCTAAGAAAGTTTAGGCAAGGCCAAAAGGAGTCTCTGAGTCACAGTCACCTCTCAGAGGAGTCCTGTGTCTCACAGAAATGGGTCTGCCTAAGGATCCCTGTACTCCTTCATTGACTGGGAGCAGCCTGTGGGAACTAGTGGGAATACAGTAGTGGATTTATAGTGCTGCAGTAGGGGCTTTCAGGTAATCTCCCCACAGACAGAGATCTAAGAGGCACATATTTATGGACTCTGTGGAGACATATACTAAACCCAAAGGTGGTAATGATGTGATGCATGATACAATAATAGCACATCTGAGGAACAATGGGAATATATAGGAGCAAAGATTTAATTAGCATTTGACTTGAATCTTAAAAAGGATAAGAAGCAATTCACCCAGTGTATAGTAATTTCATTTTTGTTAAAAGGAAAAAAATGTACATATATGTCTAAATATGTAGATATATATGTGTTTTTAATATTTGGAAAACATATGAACATTACTTATCTTTGACAAATTAGATTTTTTCTTTATACTTTCCTTGATCTTCTTAAAATTTAAATAGATTTACATTTAAAAATGAAAATAAATTATTACATATATTAATATATTGGTTTATTTTAAAGGAAAAAATCCAATAGTCCATCTTGCTCTGTTCTATCTTCTGAACCATTTATTTTAGTCAGCTATTGGTTGTTCCCAATACACAGTTGATCCATGAACAATTGGGGAGGGTTAGGTGGCCAACCAATCCCCCCCTCCCCATAGTTGAAAATCTGCATATAACTTTTATTTTATTTATTTATTTATTTTTTGAGACAGAGTCTCACTTTGTTGCCCAGGCTAGAGTGAGTGCAGTGGCATCAGCCTAGCTCACAGCAACCTCAGTCTCCTGGGCCTAAGTGATCCTTCTGCCTTAGCCTCCCGAATAGCTTGAGACTACAGGCATGCACCACCATGCCCGGCTAATTTTTTCTATATATGTATTAGTTGGCCAATTAGTTTCTTTCTATTTATAGTAGAGACAGGGTGTCACTCTTGTTCAGGCTGGTTTTGAACTCCTGACCTCGAGCAATCCACCCGCCTCGGCCTCCCAGAGTGCTAGGATTACAGGCGTGAATCCCCGCACCTGGCCTGCATATAACTTTAACGTCCTGAAATCTTAACTGTTAGGGTAACATAAACAGTTGGCTAACACATATTTTATATGTTATATGTATTATATATTATATTAATGTAAGCTAGAGAAAATAATTAAGAAAATCATAAGGAGGAGAAAATACATTTATAGTACAGTATTGTATTTATTGATACCATAAGTTTATGTCATCTATTTATGAGAGAAATTAGCTGTCTGACATGATGGGCAGAGCCTAGGAGTTTGAGGCTGCAGTGAGCTATGATGGTGCCACCGCACTTAGGCCTGGTCAACAGAGTGAGACCTCATCTCTAAAAAAATTAAGTTGTGAGTAAATGGTGAGTAATTGAAACTACAGAGATCAATCTACAGTACATATAAACAGTACAATTCAACTTTTTCTTGTAATATTATGAGTTTTTACTAATTCTTGGGAGCACTTCCAGCCTCACTAGTGGCACTTTGTGTGGGACCCATGATGTTATTCAGGATTTACATATTGCACTAAACATGAAAAATATACCAGAACCACAAGAGGTCACTTTTTACTGTGATACACAATTTACAGGAGAGATGAACTACTCATGTGGAGATGATTAGTGTCACACAGTGTTTTAGGCAGATGCTGTAAGTGGACACTTGAGCTCATTGCAATAGCAACAGGAGGTGGCTATGAAATCAATGCAGTGTACAGTATGCATATAGTTAATTTTATGCAGTTATGATTTAATACTGCATTTTTGTTTGCCTACATTTTTCTTGATTGCAAATGGTGACATGTACTGCCTGTGTTTGTATAAGTTCTGATAAATTTTAATTTTTTATAATAGATGTGTATGTATTTTATGGTTGTAAGTGACAAAATACCATAATATCTACATATATTTTATGCATTCATGACATACATTTTTCTTAATTTTTTGGTGTATCTAAGCTATATAGTTTGTAAGTTTTTTCATATTGCCAAAAATATCAAAAAAAAATTTTAATAAATGTATTGAAAAAAATCTACATGTAAATAGAGCCAAGCAGTTCAAATCCATGTTGTTCAAGGGGCAACTATAATTATATAAATAAAGGACAACAGTTCTATTATATTTAAGTAGGATTTGGGAAAGTAATTCCAAAATTAGATTCTAAAAATGTTTTAAGTAATTCTAGCAGCATTGGTAAAAATATATTTCCTTCCTCCCACAAGAAGCTTATGTAAAAAAAAAAAATCATGTAGATATACAGCTTATTTAAAAAGTCATTTACAACAACATATTGGAGAAATTTTCTTTTTCTGAGACAGAGTCTCACTCCATCACCTCAGGTAGAGTGCAGTTGTGTCATCACAGCTCACTGAAAACACAAACTCCTGGGCTTCAGTGATCCTCCTGTCTCAGCCTCCCAAGTAGCTGGAACTAGAGACATGCATCACTACCCTGGATAATTTTTTCTATTTTGGGTAGAGACACGTTCTCACTCTTCTCAGGCTGGTCTTGAACTCCTGATCTCAAGTGGTCCCCCTATCTTGGCCTCCCGGAGGCATGAGCCATTGCACATGGCCAAGAAAAAAGTTTTTGACAGACATAGTAGAGTAAATGGTCATAACTTATAAAAAGCTCATGCAAATAAGGAACACCAATTCTGTTGGAAAAAATAGATAAAGAACTTGAGTAGATAACTGACAAAATTTAACTTGAATAGCTTGTGAGCATGAAACAATATTTAAGCTCACCAGTCAGCAATGAAATACACATTTAAAATAGCAATGCTATTTTTTATGAATCAAATTTGTAAAGATTTGAAGAAAAGTCATTTTACTAGAGATGAGTACTTAGGTGCTTCTGTTCCTCATGTATCATGCAAAGTATTACACACTTTCTCCTCTTTGGCTTAGTAATTACACTTCTATCACTCTGTTCTGGGGATGTATTAATTATTTGATAAAGATTCAATAAGAGAATAACTAAATAAATTAGATATCTACATAATGGATTATCATGTAACTGGTTAAATCATCTTTGTGAAGAATTAGCAATGAGATGAGAAATAAATATAAATGACAATAATAACAATACATATTATACATACAGTTTTTCTATTCTAAACTATACAGAAAAACTTCTAGAAGGAAATACACAGAATTTTTAACATTGGTTAGCTTTTGAGTAATAGGATTTTCAATGATTTTGTATTTTATAGTTATGGTTGAAAAATAGTTGTATAAAAGTGACAGTGTGACCTCTTGGTTAAAATTCAGGATGAATGAAGTGATTAATAAATGTATTTGAAGTTCTGGGAAGAGTACCACAGTGAGTGTATAGTATTGGAGAATGCTCTCTGGAGATTGTGGGACTGGAACCCTAGGCACTGTCAAGTTTATATGTTTGTGATAGTGAGGGTGCTGTGGGAATGCATTCCTAGGTAGTAGGAAGTGTTAAGACCAAAGAATAGGATTGAAAATGCTGCAACATAGGAAGGACAGGAAGGGGATGCCTGATTAGTGTATCCGTAAGATTGATAGGGCCAGATTGTGATAACCTCTGAAAGTCTATCATAGATGGTGTGTATTGCACATCTATGATGTGATTAACTTTTTCTATAAAATTAGCGCTATTTGTCTGCTTTACAGAGAGGCCATATGGTATAAGGATCAAAAAGCATGGTCTTTGGTGTCAAACTAGGTTAAAAATCTGACCTTATAAACTATATGTGCCCAGCTGTTACATCTACAAAACAGGGATAGTAATAAGACCTACTTCATAGGGTTGTTGTGAAGATTAAGTGGAATAATGCAAGTAAAATATTTGGTGTGGGGCCTGGCACTTGGTAAGTATTCAGTAAATGTTTGGGCTATCATTATTTGGAAAGAGAAAAGTTTAGATATAGAGAGAAAAAGTTTGAACCTATTATAGAAATTAAAAATGAGAGTGAGAACTTGCATCTCTAATTGCAAGGTACAAGCTTTTCATCTTTCTCAATATTTTCCTTAATCCCTATGCTATGTTTATTTTGTTTCCCTATATTGCCTTTCCCTTACCTATTTTATTTTCTTAGAGACAGAGTCTTGCTCTGTCACTCAGGTTGGAGTACAATGCATGATTGAAGCTCACTGCAACCTTGAACTCCTGGACTCAATTGATCCTCCTGCCTCAGCCTCCTGAGTGGCTAAGACTTCAGGCATGTGCCACCATGCCTGGCTAATTTTCATTTATTTTTGTAGAGATGGAGTCTTGCTATGTTGCCCAGGCTGCCTTTTCCTATTTTTTAAAGCTCTATTTGAGAACCATCCAAACTATATTTCTTATAGTCATTACTGTCTGTGTTCCCATTTCAGTCCCAAATATAGCAGTAGGTTTTTTGCAAACAGGAAATATTCTATTTCTTATTCCTTTTAGAGGTTGAGCCTAGAGGTGAATTGACAGTATCTTTTGGAAATAAAGATGATCATACAGAAGAATCTTTAGATAAAATAATAGATGCCTCAGGGATAATGAATATGGTTTGATAGGAGAATTCCAGAGGTGGTTGGAGAAGCATGGCAAACAGGGACATTCAAAAGGAATAGTCACACAAAAGAAAACTCATGGGAAAGACAATAAGGGTAAGGAAATTGACCCAAAAAGGAGACCCCCTAGAAGTAATTTCAGACACTTCAGACATAATTAAACATCTGAGAGCCTTCTTGAAGAAGAAGTCCCAGAGGTATCATGAAAGCAAGAAACCCTTCAGTTTTCATTCAGACCTTATTCCGAACCACAAAGAGAAAAGTCATGGAAAATGTAATGAAGGTGAGAAAGTCATCAGTCACTCTTCATTTCTAACTGAACATCAAAAACGTCAGAAGATTCTTTTGGCAGATAGGTCTAAGAAGTGCAGTCTGTGTGGTATGCTCTTCATTCCAAGGTCATCTATTTCTAAGAGAAAAATCTGTATATGTGAAAAATGTTGGAAAGAGTCATGTCAGCCTGCAGCCTTAAATAAAGATGAGGGAACTGAGACTGGAGAAAAAACCCATGAGTGCAGTAAATGTGGAAAAGCTTTTGGCTATAGTGCCTCACTCACCAAACATCAGAGAATTCACACTGGAGAGAAACCCTACATATGTAATGAATATGGAACAGCTCTTAGTGATAGTTCATCACTCACACCACCTAATGGAACTCATAGGAGAGATAAACATTCCAAATGTGATGATTGTGGAAAAGGTTTCACCCTTAGTGCCCACCTCATTAAACATCAGAGAATTCATACTGGAGAAAAACCTTACAGATATAAAGACTGTGGGAGACCCTTCAGTGACAGTTCATCTCTTATTCAACATCAGTGAGTTCATACTGGGGAAAAACCCTATGCATGTAATGATTGTGGAAAATGCTTCAGTCATAGCTCATCTCTTTCTAAACATCAGAGAATTCATACTGGAGAGAAACCCTATAAATGTGGTGAATGTGGAAAAGCCTTTAGACAGAATGCATGCCTTACCCGGCATCAGAGAATTCATACTGGAGAGAAACCATATTTCTGTCATGATTGCGGGATGACTTTTAGCCATTTTACATCTGTCATTTATCATCAGAGACTTCATTCAGGAGAAAAACCCTACAAATGCAACCAGTGTGAGAAAGCCTTCCCTACCTATTCTCTCCTTAGTCGTCATCATAGAATTCATACTGGTGTAGAGCCTTATAAATGTAAAGAATGTGGAAAATCCTTCAGTCAGAGTTCATCTCTTAATGAGCATCACTGAATTCATACTGGAGAGAAGCCCTATGAATGTAACTATTGTGGAGCCACCTTTAGTTGAAGCTCAATCCTTGTGGAACACATAACAATTCATACTGGAAGGAGAGACTATGAATGTAATGAATGTGAGAAGACATTTAAAAGTAATTCAGGCCGTGTGCAGTGGCTCATGCCTGTAATCTTAGCACTCTGGGAGGCTGAGGCGGGAGGATTGCGCAAGGTCAGGAGTTCGAAACCAGCCTGAGCAAGAGCGAGACCCCGTCTCTACTATAAATAGAAAGAAATTAATTGGCCAACTATTATATATAGAAAAAATTAGCTGGGCGTGGTGGCACATGCCTGTAGTCCCAGCTATTCGAGAGGCTGAGGCAGTAGGATCACTTGAGCCCAAGAGATAGAGGTTGCTGTAAGCTACGCTGATGCCACGGCACTCATTCTAGCCTGGGCAACAAAGTGAGACTCTGTCTCAAAAATAAATAAATAAATAAAAAATAAAAATAAAATAAAAGTAATTCAGACATCATCGAACATTGGGGATATCACTCTGCAGAATAATTCTAGGAATATAGTGGGAGGGGGATTTAGTTCAAATTGTCAGTTAATGAAAACCTGGGATGTAAGCTGTTATACTAACAACAGCAATTAGTAGCTACAACTTTGATAAAGTGGCAGCTAGGAAAAATATTCTTTTTACATTTATCCCTCTTGTTTACAAGAATTTCAACTGCTTGTAAATAGAGTAATTAGGGTTGGTAAAGTCAGGTGAAAAGTGAAGAAACTAGTATGAGATACAAAATAATTCTGAATGGCCAGACTTGAATTTGAAAAGTTCATTTCTTTGGGAAATTTCCCTCTCTTCTGCTTTCCCCTTCTACAACCATGTAGTGTGGTAGAAAAAGAGCTTGACTGCTGTTGTTTAACCTGGATTCCATCTCAGTTTGCCAACCAACTTGTTATATAAGCCTGGACAAATCACTTGACCTTTCTGAATTCTGGTTTCTTTACTAGGAGAATGAAGGAGTGGGACTAATGATTTCTAATTTTTTTTTTTTTGTATCTGTGATAATCTCTGAAGATGTGAAAATAAACTAATTTTGATTAATTGGAACTTTCAAGTTTCTGAAGTGGAAAATAATTCTCATTCAGGATGCTGGACTTCTAGTTTTCTGAGAATGCATTATACTTTTGGAATACTTGATGCAGGAATCCCTGGAATGCTATAAAATAGGAACAGGTTGGTGAAGCTCAGACAAATTTGCCTTCAGGGAATGTTTTAATTGGGCAGGGCACCTCAACCTTTTTTTCTTGTGGACATTGGCCAAGGATATTGGTAATTCAGAGAGTTGGCACCTGATCTGTCTCCGCCATGAGAGTAACAGTTCTAGGAAAATAGATTGGAGGTGAGGGGGAAGGAAATGTGGAAAACAAAGCCATTCTGGATGGATTCCTTTTGCAGAATAGAATTCTGTTTTTGTTTTTTTTTTAAATTTTGCCTGTGACAAGTACATCTTCCTCAAGTTGCAGTGTAAACATTCTGTGTGGCAAAGATGACAAGCTAATAGATTGGATAAGATTGAGCCCTTAAGCATGTTTCAGTTGGTCTGCATAATGGAATAAGTGTGTGTGTGTGTACATGTACATGTGCATGTATACTTCCATTTCCACTATTTAAAACTTAGAGAATTTCATATAAAAAAAAACAAGACTCATCTTAAAAAACTATAAGGGCTAACAACTCTGGGCCTATGTTTCTGTGGAGCGCTCAGCTGGTCCTGGCTAGCAGCTTCTACCTTTCAATGAGGAATCCACTGTCTTACTTGCCAATTTCCCTGTGTATGTAACCTGATGTTCCCACTGTAGAATTTGATATTATGATCCCCTACCATTTGGAGAATACATATACTAAAATATGAAGAGACCCCATTCATAGCAAGTAAAATTCTGGAAAAGGATGTAAAACTAATACAGAATAAGTTTTCAGTTAAGTTTTCTATTGTGAAACTAGACCTCAGAGGAATGGAGTATACAGGTATTCATGGATTATTCCCTATAAGTTTCATTGTTGGACTCTCAATAATAATTTCTAATTGAAGAAGGATCTAAAGGCCCTGAATGAGTTAGGTTTGGGTTTCAGGTTTTCGAGAAATCTCACTGACTCATCAGTGATGCAGAAATAAGTTCCTAAAGTTGAAATTTGAGGCAGCTCCTACACAAAGAGAACTAAACCAGAAAACTCTTGGCTCATAGAAGTGAAGAGATCCTTAATGATCTGAGACTCAGGAACATTTGCTGTGATTTAATGTTTACATTTGAAATGCTACCTCTGGGTAAGGTTTTTGATTTCTTCTTAGTACCTCCCCTCCCATGCATCCTATAGTTCATATATTGTTGTATGATAAATTGGTCTGCATAGTTATTGCAACCAAACACATTCTAGCCATGAAAGGAATGTAGCATGGGAGAATCATTCATGCTGGTTTACATTTTTTCTCTAAAAGATATTATTTATTAGAAAGAAGGAAATATGTAAAACTCTTCTCTTGAGAAGAGGCTTATTCTAGAATGATTCTAGTTAGACATCCCAACATTCATCAGAGGATGTTTTATCCCAATATCAGTTGAGAATCTAGAGCATAACCTTTTTCTTTGAAACAACTTTATTGAGGTATAAATTACATATTATGAAAACCATTTCAAGTGTACAATTCATTTAATTTTAATAAACTTACTGAATTATGCAGCTATCACTATAATCCATTTTTTAGAATATCACCCCAGTAAGATGCCTCATGCCCATTTATAGTTACTCCTCCTTTCCACCCCCAGTCCCAGGCAATCAATCACTAATCATTCTATTTTCTGTTTCAATAGAGTTACCGTTTCTGGATGTTTTATGGAATCATATATGTTCTTTTGTGTCTGTCTTTTTTCATTGCCATGTTTTAAGTTCATCCATGTTGCAACAGATCAGTACTTTATTTCTTTTTATTTTAAATAATCTATTCCATTGTTTGGATACTTTGTCCATCACTAGTTGAAGGATGTTTGGGGTTTTTAATACTGCTTTGAACATTTTATGCAAGTGTTTTCAGCTTTAGTGTACAAATCTTTGTGTGGACATAAATTTTCATTTTTCTTAGGTAGATACCTATGAGTGGAATCACTGGGTCATTTGGTAAGTTTTTGTTTAACTTTTTTTTTTTTTTTTTTGAGACAGAGTCTCACTTTGTTGCCCAGGTTAGAGTGAGTGCTGTGGCGTCAGCCTAGCTCACAGCAACCTCAACCTCCTGGGCTCAAGCGATCCTCCTGCCTCAGCCTCCCGAATAGCTGGGAATACAGGCATGTGCCACCATGCCCAGCTAATTTAATATATATACCTTTAGTTGGCCAATTAATTTCTTTCTATTTTTGGTAGAGACAGGGTCTCGCTCTTGCTCAGGCTGGTTTCAAACTCCTGAGCTCAAGCAATCTTCCCGCCTCGGCCTCCCAAAGTGCTAGGATTATAAATGTGAGCCACCATGCCCAGCCAAGTTATTGCTTTAAAATTCTAATACATCTGGTCTTTCAATTTAACATAGCTGAAGTCCCATCCTCTTGATAGACTCTAATTTTTCTATCGGTAGCTGAAAATCTTTGACAATGGAAAAATTTTCAAAAATGTCTGTCTCATATTTGAGCTTTCAGGCAATGAATTGATATTTCTTTGTAAATTTGGATGTTCTTTGAGACAGAATATACCCAGAGTTTTCCTTGGATGTTTTATATCACATGATTCATCTAAAGCTAAAGAAAAATACTTGAAAAAAATACATTTTTTTTTTTTTTTTTGAGACAGAGTCTCACTTTGTTGCCTAGGCTAGAGTGAGTGCCGTGGCGTCAGCCTAGCTCACAGCAACCTCAGACTCCTGGGCTCAAGCGATCCTTCTGTCTCAGCCTCCCAAGTAGCTGGGACTACAGGCATGCGCCACCATGCCCGGCTAATTTTTTCTATATATATTAGTTGGCCAATTAGTTTCTTTCTATTTATAGTAGAGACGGGGTCTCGCTCTTGCTCAGGCTGGTTTTGAACTCCCGACCTCGAGCAATCCACCCTCCTCGGCCTCCCAGAGAGCTAGGATTACAGGCGTGAGCCACCGCGCCCGGCCGAAAATACATTTTTTTGAGACAGGGCGTCACTGTATCACCTAGGCTGGAGTGCAGTAGTGTTATCATAGCTCACTGCAATCTCAAACTCTGGGGCTCAAGTGATCCTTTTGCCTCAGCCTCCCAAATAACTGGGACTACAGGCACACGCCACCATGCCCAGTTATTTTTTTCTATTTTCTATAGAGACAGGGTCTTACTGTTGCTTAGGCTGGTCTTAAAGTACTAGCCTCAAGTAATCCTCCCACCTTGGCCTCCCAATGTGCTAGGATTATAGGTGTGAGCCATTACACCCAGCCTAATACTTGAAATTTTTCAAATTTTGAATTGATTAATCTTTGATATTATTAGAAATACATATATTCTATGAGCAAAATATATTTTGTTCATGTATATTCTATGAGCAAAATTGTTTAATGGTTTAATTGAAAATTTGAATTTGGAAGAATGCCTTTTAAAGTCTTGGTAAATTTCTAAATAATGATAACTAAAATGATAATTTATTTTTATTATCTCTCCATTTAAGATTCTTTTTTGTATGTGCATGTACAAGAATCAAGCTGTTTTATAGCTTTCCAAGTTTACAAACTCAGACCCTGTTAAAAGTGTTTAAATTGCTTTTGTTGGAGATTTAATTCTCATTACATGTGACATTTGTGGATTCTTTTTTGACTTAAACTTAGTTATTGCTGAAAAGTTACAGAGTCTTAAATATTGTGTCAAGTTTTGTCTACTGTATATCTTTAACACTTTTCAATACAGCAAACAGTGTTTTCATTTGTTCTGCTGCAGTAAATTACAATTGCCTTTCATTATTGAATGTGCACTATTCTCTCTTCTGGTCTCTTTATTTCTTTACCAGTTGTAGCACTAGCTTCTGTGTGTGTGCTGAATTCTGCCTCAGTAATATGCCTGTGTTTAAAATTTAAATATTTTTCCATATTTTTAAATGTAGAAAGTAATTATTAAAATATATCTCAGTTTATAATTCTGATTTACATATTTACCTAATCACTTAGGTATCACTGTAACTTGTGCTATCTGCATAGGTATATTCTAACTTGTTCTATCTTCATAAAATAGCCAAGTAAACATATCGTGATATTACATCCGTGCATAGAAAAAAATCATCTGAACCGAATCAGTCTTTTGATTCTTACTAGATTGGTGATTCATTTATGTATAACACTAGAAAAAACGCATGTTCCTATACAAGTGTTAAGAATACAACAATGTCCTATGCAATGCAGTGACAGCTACTTGGGAGACTGAGGCAGAAGGATTGCATGAGCCTAGGAGTTTGAGGTTGCTGTGAGGTAGGCTGACACCATGGCACTCTAGCCCGGGCAACAGAGTGAAACTCTGCCTCAAAAAAAAAAAAAGGCCAAATATTTATAAAATAATAATAATAAAGTGAATTGTAGTTTTACCGAAACAATAAAGTTGTGTTTCATGGGAAAATATTTCAGTCTGCTTCAGTTTTTAAAATTTCAAAATATGGCATTTTCTGCATTTCTGTTTCTCAGTAGCCTCAAGTGGCTACCATATTGGACAGTACAGAATTAGCATAAGCAGTGTTAGCCATAGAGAACCCAATAAATAAAAGTTGCTTAACTCAATGGAAGTTTATTTCCCATGCAGCTTTGTAACATTTTTTTTTTCTAAATATTACCAGGGTGCAAATGTTTTTGGTTACATGTATTGGTTTTGTTGTGCTTGAGTCAGGATAATTTGTGCCCATCACCCAGATAGTGTTCACTGGACTCGTTAGATAGGTTTTTGCATGCTCCTTCCTCCCCAGTCCTTTCTCCCCCATCCCACCTGATTGATTTCTGCTGAGTTGTACTTCCCTCTGTGCATGTATGCTCATTGGTTATTTCTAATGAGTAGCTTATGTGTCTGCACTGAGTTTAATAGTGAGTACGTGTGGTGTTTGCTTTTCCATTCTTTAGATATTTCACTAAGGATAATGGTCTCCAACTCCCATCCAGATTATTGCAAAAGGCCTTAATGCATCCTTCTTCATGTCTGCATGGTATTCTATAATATGCATACAATACATTCTGTTAATCCACTCATGGATTGATAGGCACTTGGGTTGATTCCACATCTTTGCAATTGTGAATTGTACTGCAATAAACATTCATGTGTAGCTTCACAGCATTTTGAAACCGAACCATTTGTGGCATATAACCAACAACATCCTAGAGGCAGAGAATGGGAGAACTGGAGCATTGTACAATGTTTTTAAGCACTAACCTGGAAACAGCTATAAAACCATGGGTCCCAAACTTAGTGGCCAAGGTGTCCCAGGGCGCTATCCCAGGACATTTTAAAGTTGTGAGGGTAACCTATTGGACACAGTACAAGCTACTATTATGTTGTTTGGAACTGACTTTTTACCAAATGGAACTAGCAGGTATTTCTTTTGGCCTAGGGACACTATGGAAAATGATCATGGTGCTAAAGATACTGGAACCAAGAAAGTTCAGTGACCTCTTAGAATCACTTTACTCTTTTCCATTGCCCAGAAATCAGTCACAGTCCCCTAGCCTAATTGCAGGGGAGGCTCGGAAATATAGTCTTCCCTTCATTGTGGTGAGCACATGGATTGTTTCTATAGTACTTTTGATCACACCCACACCTATTGTTTCTATAGTACTTTTGATCACTCTTCTCATATGTAATACATACAGGAGTCCCCTCTTATCCACAGGGATATGTTCCAAGACCCCCAGTGGATGCCTGCCACTTCCGACAGTACTAAACCCTATATTTGCTATGTTTTTTCAATCTGATAAGCAAGATGGCTACTGAGTGACCAACAGGTGGGTAGCATAGATGCTGGATGAAGGGATGATCCAAGTTGTGGGTGGGACAGAGCAGGATGGCAAGAAACTTCATCACGCTACTCGGGACAACTCGCAATTTAAAATGTATCCATTGTTTATTTCAGGAATTTTCCGGATAATATTTTTGGACCAACGTTGACCGCAGGTAGTTGAAACCACAGAAATCGAAACCATAGATACTGGGGGACCACTGTACTTTCTTTCCCCAAGGGAGACAATCCAGAGTTTGATCTGGTCAGTGTTTCCAACTAAAATCCAGGGTCTCTGAGTTAGATGCTTAGAGTGTCGCCTAGTGTTTGCCTTTGAGACCCTAAATGTAAGCACCTGTTAATCTTTTCCTGGAATACTGTAATTTCTTCAGAGGGATCTGTGGTTTCTCAAGAGAAGGCTCTCCTAATCAGCAGGGTGTACATAAGCCAGGCTGCCATTACTCAAGAGTGTCCCTGGCCAGGTCCAAGTCCATTCTGCCCGTGTGCAGTAAATCAATCACGGCGACACAGGTTTTGCAAAAGAAAAGAGATTTAATTGAAAGGCTATTGAGCAAGGAGGTAGGAGAACAGCTCTCAAATCTGCTTCCCGGAAGATAAGGCTTAGAGATATTTGTGGGTTAGGGAAGTGGAATGGTCTAAGGCATGGGGGAAAGGCAATTGGCAGTTGGAGAAAAATGAAGTAACAGGTTTATTCTGCGCAAACGTAGTTGGGTTCTTGTCCTTTTAAAGGACATGTGTACAGAAAATGGCACTAGCATGATTTGAGGGTGGAGTTCTTGGCCCTCTGATGTCAAAAGGCCATTTCTGGGGCACTCGCGCAAGCCCAGATGATGGGTCAGTGGTCTCAACTGGTTTGAACTGGACAGGATCTGGCCCAGGTTCCTCAAAAACAGATGAAGTGACCATTACCGTGGTGGTTTAGGAATATTATCTATAAAGTAGCCAGTGATAGTTAAGTTTTAGCATTTAGCAGGTTGGTCTTCAACTTCACTGGAAAAGGGAAAAAAAACACAAAACGAGCAACCAAGAGCAAGCAGCACGGGAAGACCTGATGAAATTTACCCCTCGGTTTCAGGAGTACGCAGAAGGCCGTTGCATGCAGGGACAGGAGTTGGGGTTCATCCCCTTTTATTCAGACTTGCACTTCATCTTGGGTTTTGAGTCTCACATTTCATTTCTACCCTCTTCCAGACCCACGTACTCAAGTTAATAGCCTTTCAAGTTCTATTTGGTGAAAGATAACAGCTCTCAACCCTCTGTGGGGGTTGTGGAAAGATTGATATAACCTGACCAAACAGCCACTAATCTATTCTCCATGTATACAGAGTTGCCTCTTCTGGACATTTCATATAAATGGGACCATACAATATGTGACCTTGGGTGTCTGGCTTCTTTCACTTAGCATAATATTTTCAGGGTCTGTTCATGTTGTACCAAGTATCAGTACTTCATTCCTGTTTTGGCTTAACAATATTCCATCGTAGGGCTATGCCACATTTTGTATGCTCATTCATCTATTTTTTTAAGAGGCACAGTCTCTGTTGCCTAGAGTGCAATGGCAATGATCATTCCTCACTGTAGCCTCCAACTCCTGGGCTCAAGCAATCTTGCCTCAGCCTCCCGATTAGGTGGGGCTATAGGTGTATACCACCCTATTCAGCTATTTTTTTCTTTCTTTTTTGTAGAGACAGGTTCTATGTTGCCCAGGCTGTCTTGAACTCCTGGGATCATGCAATCCTCCTGCCTCAACCTCCAAAGTACTGGGATTACAGGCATGATCTACCATACCCAGGACCAACTCTTTTTAGATCCAGCAGAGAACTGAGGTCACAAGGCAAACTACTGTCCCCGAAACTGGGGAGACAAGCAGGGGGATACAGAGAATCACAGCTTACTGGAGTAGAAGCCTAAGAGCAAAATCCCATGGCCATCAGTACCAGGGAATTGAACTTAAAACTATAATGTGGAATTGCTGGCAGCTCAGTGTGGACAAGTTTGAGAGTTAAAAACATGTTGTGGCCCATTTGCAGGATGGAGGATGAACACAAAACAGAAAAAGACACACGGACACACACAAAGATGGTTACAAGACTGCAGCGCAGAACGCACCAGTCATTTTATTTTTATACCCCCAAAATCAAAGTTAGTTCCTTATACGTGCCCACCTAGGCGTGGCAGCAATAGCCATAAATTCCGGAACACGTAGCCTAAGAGCACAGTCTCCTGACTCAAGGTTTCCAGGCAGTTGCTCAAGATGCCAGACATAGATCACAGACCAAGATTAGCAAGGTTGGGCAAGGCTGCCACCAGGGGCATTTTTCATCCCCAGTTCCTCTTAGGCCAATCCCCTGTGGCTGTGCATGGCTTAGGTCACCCCTCCCTTGAGGGGTGTTACCCGTCATTGACTAACCAGCCATCTTATGGGATTAAGCAGCAATCGAAAGAACAATTTGCTTATTGTGTGGCCTCCAGTCTCCACTTATCGTGGGGCTTGGCAGTTCTTGCCTCAATGCAGAAACTCAGGTCTATTGTTATGCCTCTAGGCAGCAACCGTGTTTGTCACAAGGGCCTTGTCCAGAACACATTACTTTCAAACGCTCTGGGCAGAACACATACATTACTCACTAAATTTAATTCTTAAACTAGGAAAATATATGTCAGTCTCCTACAAAAACATGAGAAGTGCCCCACCTTTAGGGGGTGCCCTCACACTTTCCTGCATATTGGTAGAGATAGTAGAAAGACACCTTTATGCTTTGGGCAGGGGGAAGGGAAAAGTAGGCATTTTGAAATACTCCTAGAGCAGTCTGTTCTTTTTAATAAAATTTGCCCTCAAGAGAAACTATTTTACCAGAGCCTAATCAACGTAGGAGAAGGGACCTACCCACCAGCAGCCTTATTTAGCCTTCCTGTTCTACATAAAGGGGTGAGTGGGAAGACTGAGAAGTCCTTGTGAAGGTCACAGCCCAGGGACACAGTGCAGCAGGGGAGACAAAACCAAGCACACGAGAGGAAATTTTAGCCCTGCTGACTACAGCTACAGCAAACAGTGATCACTGTGTTCCATCAGGTGCCACGCAAATTTGGTTTGTCTCATTATTGAGGATGTTAAATTAACCTTGGCCACTTGATTAAGGTGGTGGTATCTTCCAAGCTTCTTCACTTTAAACTTCTCTTATCGTCTTGGTAATTAAGAAGTATTCTGTTGAACTTGAAATGTGGTTAAAGAAAAAGAAAGATAAAAATAAAAGAAGAAAAAAGTAAAATGAAAAAAATAAAAAAGAAGTATTCTGTGGTTAAGTACTTTGAAGCTATGTAAATATTCCAGTCCTTACCAAGCTTTCAACTTATCCAGTTATTTATCTCAGTATGGGTCCATGGTTTCTTTTTTATTCCATGGGTTATAGTCCATTATTACTGTTACCTATTGGGAGCTCAAATTTTCCGTGATTTGTCTCATGGGAGCCCCCTCAAGCTGGCTTCTGTATTCTTTTGACCTGACCTCTTCATTCCTTGAGTGTGTCCTTGCTGTTTGGTACAAGATGTTCCAGGCCAGGTGTCTATAATCTCAGCTCCTACAACCTGTGCTGGCCCACACTGTCACATAAAAGCTCTGCTCAGGCTCCCACCTCTGTGCCAGGCTACCCCATGCACAAGCATCTCTTCAACACGGTTGGGATCCAGCCACCTGAACCAGGTTGCTCACTTCCACGCAGATAGTCTCTTTACCCTGCTTGGGATATCACACCCATGCCAGGCAACCTGTTCACATGGACACCCTTCTTTCTCTGCCTGGGCTCTTCCACTCCATGCTGGGCTGCGCCTGTGTGTGATGCCTTCCTTACTCTGCTTGGAATCTGACTCCTTGCACCAGGCAGCCCTGCCATTCAAATGCCCTCCTCACCCTGCTGGGACTCTGACACCCTCAATCAGGCCGTGCTCTTCCTCCTCCACCCACATTGGACTTCACTCTTCCTGAGCTTGGCACGCCATACTGGGGACCATGACTCAGAAGCTGTATTCATTTTGCTGGGCCTCCAACTCTTTACATCAGGCCACAACACACCACCCAAGTCCTCCCTCCTGTGCAGGAGTGTGTGTACACACACACACACACACACACACACCCTGCATGTGACCTCTGCTGTGGGCCACTGAGGCTCCCCCACTCTAAGCCCCAGGAGTCCCCTTGCTCTGCCCCATCTAATGTCTTTAGGATTGAATAGTTTGGTAAGAGAAGAGGACACAAAAGGGCAGGGGCTATTTGTCTCTTATCTCTATCCTTCAGGCACCCCTCAGTTCTCTTCCTTAAAGACAAACCATACTAGTAGTTTATTACATCTTTCCAGAGTTTTTATACAGATACTCTTCCTCCCCCCCATTGGTTCATTATACAATTTATTGAACTCTCTGTGGTGGCAAAATTGAACAGATCAACAGAATTAACAACTTTCTAATTGATATTGAATCTTCCTGTCCAAGACCTTGGTACCTTTCCATATATTTTAAGTCTTCTTTTATGTTCCTCAGTAATGCTTTAAAGCTTTCTTCATATAAATTTTGCACTTTTTTTTGTAGGTGTATAAATTTTCCCAGGTGTTATCTTTTTTGTAACTGTTGGAATGATAGATTCCTTCTTTGGTCTGTTACATTATTACACTCACCTACAGAGGACCAGTGTGGGCTGGCCCTGAGACCCCTGTACACCAGAAATGATTCTTTCTTTTGGTATAATTGCAAGCAACAGGGGTGGTAATCTTATGATTCAAATTCACTGGTATCGGCAGGAGGCTAACCAATACTTATTAAGTACCTAAAAATGGCAGGCATTACGCTGGTGTTTTAAATAAATGTATAACGTGTATATGAAGCAGATATTATCCTCACTTTAAAGATGAAAAATCAGAAGTCCAAGGTCACAGAGGCAGTAAACTGTCAGATTCCAAAGCCATTATTTTCTACAATAACCCGGAAGGAGATGTAGTAGGCAGTCAGGTGACTGGTTGCTGTTCACTATGAAATTTTCGTTCTCTGTCACCAATTACATACCACTTAAATGTATTTTATTAGGTAAGTCAAATCACTACAGTTACTCTTTCTTGGATAATTAAGGCAGTATACATTTGTGCTAAAATGTTGAAAAACAGATTAAGTAATCATCCAAATGATCTCCAGATTCCACGTGTCTTTTTTTTTTCATGCTTTCACTATTGTTTTCCCCAAATTATCTCCTTTCAGCATTCCCATAAATGCAGCTGGCATGTTTTCAAATCCTTCAGTGACATATTCATGGTACTGGATTTTACCCTGTATCAAAACAACAAATTTAATAAGTTAATTTCATATTCTCAAAGGCACACTCTTCTCATCCTAGCAACAAATGTATCAGGTACATCATGGGAGCCTTGAAAAATAGGTGATGGAGGCCCTGCCCTCTGGGAACTTGAAGTCAGTTTGGGGGCAAGATCCACATACATGGTATATGTAACAGATTACAAAGTACACATAAGAATTTAATAATAGGTGTCAGATCACAGTGAGAAATGTCACAAGGCAGTGATCAAGCAATTTCTAAGTAAGTGGTATAGGAAAGTTTAATAATGTAATGATGTCAGAAGAGATGGAAGGAGGTGGAGAAAGGAGCTGCCTTCATCACCTCTATTTGGCCCCTGGAGAGGTGGGTCCTATTCAGGAAATGTAAATACCATGGCAGTCTAATAAGTTGTCTCCCCTCCAAGCCAAGGCTCTTTCAATATGTGTTTAACATTTATTTGGGAGTGTGGGAGGGAAGGGTTCATGTTAGTGAGAAAGGTTTTCCATTTCTCTACTACAAGGCATCGTTTACAAAGTAGGACTAATTTACATTTTCAAATTTTTAAGAAGTCTTATGTAGAGACCTGAGTTACCTGATACCAGTTTTCCCCTAGATGTATTCCAGTGATGGTTTAGCACCCTTTAGGGATTATGGAAGAGATTATTTGCTTGAAGTGACCCAATTAGAAAGTAGAGAAACTGAGGTTTGAACTCTTGACTTGAAGCCCCAACTCATTCCCGCTCTTGAAGAAGTAAAGAATCTGGATAGGGTGGACAGCTAAAATCCAGTTTAGGGGTTAAAGATAGAGAACGAATACTATAATACTATTATGGACTGAATTGTGGTCCCCCAAATTCATATGTTTAAGTTCTAATCCTCAGTACCTCGGAATGTGACTGTATTTGGAGACAGTGTCTCTTTTTTTTTTTTTTTGAGACAGTCTCACTCTGTTACCCGGGCTAGAGTGCCCTGGTGTCAACCTAGCTCACAGCAACCTCAAACTCCTGGGCTCAAGTGATCCCCCTGCCTCAGCCTCCCGAGTAGCTGGGACTACAGGTATGCGCCACCACGCCCGGCTAATTTTTTCTATGTGTATTTTTAGTTGGCCAATTAATTTCTTTCTATTTTTAGTAGAGACGGGGTCTTGCTCTTGTTCAGGCTGGTCTAGAACTCCTGAGCTCAAGCAATCTTCCCTCCTCGGCCTCCCAGAGTGCTAGGATTACAGGCGTGAGCCACCATGCCCAGCTTGGAGACAGTGTCTTTAAAGACATAATTAAGGTAAAATGGGGCCATATGGGTGGGCCCTAATTCAATGCCTGGTGTGCTTATAAGGGGGTTAGGACACAGACACACAGAGAGAAGACCACGAGAAGATGCAGGAAGGGGAAGTATCTACAAGTCAAAAAGAGGCCTCAAAAGAAACAACCCTGCTGACACCTTGATCTTGGACTTCTAGCCTCTATCACTATGAGCAAATAAATTCTGTTGTTTAAGCCACCTAGGCTGTTGTACTTTATTTTGGCAGCCCTAGTAAATTGATACTAATGTAAAGTGTGAATAATAGGGGAAATTAGGGTGTAGGATACAGGATGTGTATAAGCTCTCTGTGCTATCTTCCCATTCTTCCTATAAATCTAAAACTGTTCTAAAATAAAAAGTATATTCAAAAAAACTAGGGAATGAGATAAAAAAAAATGAGAAAGAAATTAGGCCAACTCACTAGTTACTTAAAACAATTATCAGCTTCACTTTATTAGAAGGAAGCAGTAGGGATGCCAGCTCAGTGATTTCTTGTCAGCTGTAATCATGGATGGGCTAGATTAGATTTCACTCACAAGGACAAGGAGGCTATACACTGAGAGCTTAAAAATAATTCAGCTCCTCCCAGCTCCCTGGAGAGAGACCAGCCCAGCACTCCAAGTATTAGACTGGGAAAAGCGCCAAGCTCCAGTGGCTCCTGGAGAGATGATCTATTTCTTTAAATTGGGAAACAACCATTGGCCAGGAATTAGAAAGCATGATATTTTTCCCATCTGAAACTAAAATAATGCACCTTGATTATTCAGATTTCTATTGACTACAACTCCATATGGTGTAAGATGGAAAAATGATCACAGCACAGAACCATGGATTGGCTTATTCCACTGTATGTAAGAAGTATCTTTCTGCTCTGGGACCCGGAAGAGTGATGGCACATGTATGCACCCCTCTACCATTCATTCATTCAACAATATTTATCTAGTGCCTACATTGATTCTGACACTCCTCTGGGGGCTGGAGATCCACCAGAATACAAAATGCATAAACACTGCTGTCCTCATGGAGGTTACATTCTCGTGGGAGGGAGATGGGCAATAAATATAAACGAATAAGTGAATTATATAATATGTTATTTTAAAATATGATTAATTGCTATGGACAAAAGTAGGGTAAGAAGGATCAGGAATGAAGGGGGATTACAACTTAATATAGTGTCATCTTAAAAGTTGCCTCATCCAGAAGGCCCTTTTTAGCAAAGACTTAAAGGAGGTGAGAGAGTGAAGCAAGAAGTTCTGGAGGGGAAGAGTGGCGGAGGCAGGATGGGCCGTGTAAACGGGGTGACACTGAGAAATGAAGTCAGGTGTCAGGGGCCAGGTTGTGCACAAACCTGCTGATTCTGAGCACTCTGGTTTACTGTAAGTGAAATGGGGAGCTTTACAGGGTTTGGAGCATGAAGATGACATGGTTTGATTTATGCTTTAAAAGATCACTCCAGCCACTGCATTGGGAATTGTCTGTGCAGGTGTGAAGGTAGAAGCTGGAGAGGGTCTACTGCAAACATCCAGGCCAGACAGGATAATGGCCTGGACCAGAGTGGCAGCACAGGAGGTGGGAGAAGTGGTCAGATTCTCTATATATTTTGTTTTTTCTTTTTTGCTTTTTTTTTCCCCGAGACAGAGTTTCACTCTATTGCCCTGACTAGAGTGCCATGGTGTCAGCCTAGCTCATAGCAACCTCAAACTCCTGGGCTCAAGCAATCCTTCTGTCTCAGCCTCCCGAGTAGCTGGGACTGCAGGCATGCACCACCACGCCTGGCTAATTTTTTCTATATGTTTTTAGTTGTCCAATTCATTTCTTTCTATTTTTAGTAGAGACGGAATCTCACTCTTGCTCAGGCTGGTTTCAAACTCCTGACCTTGAGCGATCCGCCTGCCTTGGCCTCCCAGAGTGCTAGGATTACAGGCATGAGCCACCGCTCCCGGCCCCTGTATATATTTTGAAGGTTGAACCCCTGGGATCTCTTGACAGGTTAGACATAGGTCTAAAAGAAAGAAAGAAATTCAAGATGAGGGTTTTGGGACTGAGAAACTAGAAGAGTAAGTTGCTATAACTGAGATGGTGAAGTCTGAATATGGAGAAGGTATGGCAGGAAAGATCAAAACACATTTAGTTTCCAACATGTTAAGCCAGAGATGTCCTAAGCCTCCAGATGCAGCTATTGAGCACCTAGTGATACAAGCCTAGAGTTCAGAGGAGAGATCCAGGCTGGAGATAGAATTGGGAGCTGTCAGCATATTGATGGTATTTGAAGCCACGAGCCTAGATGAGCTAACTCAGGGACAGAGTGTAGATAGAGAAGGAGAGGTCCAATGGCCATGTCCTAGGGCACTCCATTATTAATTTGGAGAAAAATAAAAGAAGTTAGCAGAAGAATCTAAGGAGGACCAATCAGTGAGGAAACCAAGGACAGAGTGAGCCCTCTGTCGAATATTTCCCATAGCCAAGTGAGGCTAAGAATCAGCCACTGGGTTTCACAATGTGAGGGACATCTGTAACCTCGACAAAAGCAATTTGGTGGAGTGGCAGCGGTGCAAAAGCCTGCCATGTAGGCTCAAAGAAGAATGGAAAGAGAGGAACAGCAGACAGTGAATGTAGACAACACGTCCAGGTATTTTGTCATAAAAGGGGAAGAAATGACACGGAGTTGCATTTGCGTGGAAATGAGGTCTAGGGAGGGTTGTTTTGTGTTGCTTTCCTTTTTAAGAATGCTTATATTTTAAGAATGCTTATATTCTAAATCTGAGGATGCAGTGGGCAGGGGGAAAGTGACGATGCAGCAGAGAGAGGTAAGAATTGGTGGAATGACAGTCGTGAGAGGCAAAAGGGAAGGGGACCTCGTGTCCAGTGGGAGGGGCAGCTCTGGAGCCCCTTACCTCCAAGACCCAGTTCATCAAGTCCTTCAGAGCTTTCTGGCGGACATCTCCTTGCCAGCGGGTGGCGAGGAACCCTTCCATGCGGAGTTGCTGATAGATAACAATCTCTGGGGGTGGTCCTGTGAAGAAAAGATGTCACATGTTTGGGTGACAGGATCCAGGCAGGTGGCCGTGGTGAAAACACAAGCAGCACAGGTCACTGTCGCTGTTCTCCTGCTGCTTCCCCTTTCTACTTCCTGCACTGCTTTCTGGGCCATGGGACTGCTGTCTCGTCCATGTGCCCTGTGTGGAAGGCAGAACAACGCCCCCAAAGATGTCCACATCCAAAACCCCAGCACCTGTGACTCTGTTACCTTAAGTGGCAAAAAGGACTTTGCAAATGTGATTAAGTTAAGACCCTTGTGATGGGGAGGTGATTCCGTGTTATAAAGATAGACCCAATATAATTGCAAGAGTCCTTGTAAGGGAAAGAGGGACACAAGAAAGTTAGAGGTAGGAAAAAAACATGTGGGGCAGATGTGGTGGCTCAGGCCTGTAGTCCCAGCTATTTGGGAAGCTGAGGTGAGAAGACTGCTTGAGCCCATAAGTTGGAGGCCAACACAGCAAGATGCTATCTCTATTAAAAAAAATTTTTTTAGGCTGGGTATGGTGGCTCACGCTTGTAATCCTAGCACTCTGGGAGGCAGAGGTGGACGGATTGCTCAAGGTCAGGAGTTCAAAACCAGCCTGAGCGAGACCCCGTCTCTACTATAAAAATAGAAAGAAATTAATTGGCCAACTAATATATATATAAAAAATTGGCCGGGCATGGTGGCTCATGCCTGTAGTCCCAGCAACTCGGGAGGCTGAGGCAGGAGGATTGCTTGAGCCCAGGAGTTTGAGGTTGCTGTGAGCTAGGCTGACGCCACGGCACTCACTCTAGCCTAGGCAAGAAAGCGAGACTCTGTCTCAAAAAAAAAAAAAAATTTTTAGAGTGACGATGGAAACAGATACCAGAGAGAGAGGGAAGGAAGAGGAAGACCTTATGCTGCTGGCTTTGAAGATGGAGGAGGGGCCACATGCCAAGGAATGCAGGCCGCCTCTGTGAAGCTGGAAAAGACAAGGAAACAGGTTCTCCTCTAGAGCCTCCAGAAGGAACGCAGCACTGCCAACCCCTTTTAATTTTGACATCCAGAACTGTAAGAATAAATTTGCGGGGCCAGGCGGAGTGGCTCACACCTGTAATCCTAGCACTTTGAGAGGCTGAGGTGAAAGGATTGCTTGAGGCCAGGAATTCAAGACTAGCTTGGCAATCGTGAGACCCTGTCTCTAAAAAAACCTAAAAATAAGAAATAACAAAATTAGCCAGATGTGGTGGCACATGCCTGTAGCCCTAGCTACTTAGGAGGCTGAGGTAGGAGGATCCCTTGATCCCAGGAGTTGAGGGCTACAGTGAGCTATGATGATGCCACTGCACTCTAGCCTGGGCAGCAGAGCGAGACTTTGTCTCAAAAAAAAAAAAAAAAAGAAAGAAAGAAATTTGTGCTGTTATAAGCCACTAAGTTTGTGGTCATGTGTTATAGAGGCCACAGGAAACTACTACACACTCAGAATCCTTGCACAGGGCAGGCAGCCACAGAGCAGTCATCCCTCTTGTGCCAGAAGCAAGGCCCACCAAAAACTCCCCAAACAGTTCTATGGAATAGAAAGAGGCCCCAAAGGAAATGCATGAAAATTTTCTGCACTTCTCAAGAATGAATACCCTGATATTCCCAATACTTAGCACGCTCTTCTTTATGACTTAATGCAGGCATTCTATGGCATAAACCCATTTCCTTCTGTTCTGTTCTCAGAGGAGCTGCAGAACAACTAGTGTCCATCCTAGCCCAACAGCCAGTGAGAGAGAACAGATCAAAACACTGGCAGCTCCCACATCTGCCTTTGCCCTTGTCACTTCAGGATGGCCAAACGTTAGCCAGAACAGTAGGTCTCAAACTTTAGTCTGTATCCGAATCATATGGATGGCTTTTGAAAAGAGATTGCTCTGACTCTCCCCTAATTTCAGGGATCTGGGGCAGGCCCTAAGAATTTGTATTTCTTTTTTTTTTTTGGCAGAGTCTCACTCTGTTGCCCTGGCTAGAGTGCCATGGCATCAGCCTAGCTCACAGCAACCTCAAACTCCTGGGCTCAAGGGATCCTTCTGCGTCAGCCTCCTGAGTAGCTGGGACTGCAGGCATGCGCCACCATGCCCAGCTAATTTTTTTCTATGTATTTTTAGTTGGCCAATTAATTTCTTTCTATTTATAGTAGAGACGGGGTCTCGCTCTTGCTCAGGCTGGTTTCGAACTCCTGACCTTGAGCCATCCTCCCGCCTCGGCCTCCCAGAGTGCTAGGATTACAGGCATGAGCCACTGCGCCTGGCCAAGAATTTGTATTTCTAACAAGTTCCTAGGAGATGGCAATACTGCTGGTCCTGGGCACACACTTTGAGAACCACCAGCTTAGAAAAAGCAAAGGGTTCTCCTGCAGCCTGTAAAGAACTGGTACTACTGGTCTGTGGAAGAGAAAAAAGGTTGTCTTCATTGTCTGGTTTATTTTCCCAAGTACCTTCACTGACCAGAGACTGAGGGCATGTCACCTGAGCACAGGCTTTCAAGCTCCAGGAAGCCAGGTGAAGATGCCCGGGGAATATCAAGGCCAGAAGAGGCGAGACGAGTGGTAGAATCTATCTTCAGCATCCTTGGCAACTGGCATCACTCAGCCTAAAGTCCCCACTCACTACTTTGAAGAAGCAACATTAGCAGTCAGAAAAATGAACCTTTGTCCTCAATAAAAACAAACTGACGCAAGATGAGTGAGATATCCAAATACTAGTTTGCTCTTGCAGAAAGAGTGCTCCTTCAGAAGATCGACATAACCATATTACTTTCTGAGTTAAGGATTGGAACTCTCATTTCCTCATCTGAATAATAAAAAAAAAAGTGAAATGCTGTTTCTGGGCTTCTCCATCCTGATAGGAATGTTGGTTTCTTTATGGAGAGCAAAAAAGCAAATGTGGCATTAAAGCTGATGGAAGTAATTACTTGCCTCTGCACTAAATTATGCTAGAATTTCTGGGGATCAGCGGCAGGGCAGAATCCCATCTAATTAAAATGGAATGGACAAAGCCAGCTGACATCTTAAAGACCTGAGTAGCTGAACTTCCCAAACCTAATTGCTAAAAAGACTAGATCAAGTTACGGTTTCCAAAATATATGGCTATGTCTAATTGGACTGTGGTTAAGGAAATGCATTCTGGAGCTCTCCTTAACTGGCAGGCAGATGATTTCTTATGATTCTAGGTTAGTGTCACTTAGAAAAATGTAGGGGGGAAAAGTCCCTTAGAATAAGATTGCCAAGAAATCTGGAATTACCTTCTTGGAGAAGATAGTGTCTTTGATTTTTCATAGCCCAAGAGGGAATCAACAAGTATTTAATAGTTCTCAGTCCTTTCCTCTCTACCCCACCTGTCTTGGTGCAGCTGGGGTGTTGTTAACCAGGGGGGCTATGAGGTTTCATTCCCGTTAGTCAAGCCCATCACACATTGAATAACTAATTGGTTTATGGTTGCCTAGATCCTGAGTATAGTCTGGAAGATTCCTTTTTGTTCTTCTTTCTCCTTTTTATGGACCAGGGGTAAATCTGCAATCTCTCTAAGAGCACAAAATCATTGTAGCAAAAAAGGATTCTGTATGAGGAATTCAGATGACTGGTCTGTGTTTTGAGTCTGTTGCTAATAGGATTTAGAGTCCTTGGTCTTCTCTGCCATTTATTTCCTCATCCATAAAATAAGAGGCCGGTACAAGATCTCTCACAGGATTGGGATTTATTGAATATAGTTCTCTGGTTGATGCTGCTTTTGGACCTCCGTGTGTGTGGAGGTGGGTGGAGGCAGTGGCAATTGTCAGCCTGCTGGGGCCCAGGTGCCCTGCTGCTCTAGGAAGCACTGCCCAAGACTGTTTCAAGGACATGGCAGCCTGCCCTTCCCTTCCCCCACATCAAGGCACCCTCTGCCCATCCCCACAGCTCCAGCAATATTTCTAATATCCTGAAGATCCTTAATATTTTACTAGCCAGACTAAGGTGTTCTGTTTGTAAATCAAATCATGGCTATTTTTCAATAACTTTGCAGAAAAAAACAGAAAAAATGAAAACTTTTAATAACTATAAGTGTTTCTTCCATATTTTTTTTGAGACAGAGTCTCGCTTTGTTGCCCAGGCTAGAGTGAGTGCCGTGGCATCAGCCTAGCTCACAGCAACCTCAAAATCCTGGGCTCAAGCAATCCTCCTGCCTCAGCCTCCTGAGTAGCTGGGACTACATGCATGCACCACCATACCTGGCTGATTTTTTCTATGTTTTTAGTTGGCCAATTAATTTCTTTCTATTTATAGTAGAGACAGGGTCTCACTCTTGCTCAGGCTGGTTTCAAACTCCTGACCTTGAGCAATCCGCCTGCCTTGGCCTCCCGGAATGCTAGGATTACAGGCGTGAGCCACCTCGCCCGGCCCTCTTCGATATTTTTGGATACCACTTTTTCTCTATATCAAAATCTAATTTTGTGCTAATTTAGCACAAAATACATGAAATTATATATTTTGTTTTATTTATTTAATTAATTAATTTTTAGACACAGGGTCTCATTCTGTCACCCAGGCTGGGGTGCAGTGATACAATCATTGCTCACTGCAGCCTCAAATTCCTGGGCTCAAATGGTCCTCCCATCTCAGCCTCTGTAGTAGCTGGGACTACTGCATGCCACCATATCTGGCTAATTTTTAAAATTTTTTTGTCTCACTATGTTGCCCAGGCCTGACCTTGGACTCACAGCCTCAAATGATCCTCCTGTGTTAGCCTCCCTAAGTGCTGGGATTATAGGCATTAACCACTGTGCCTAGCCTTATATATTTTTATCTTAATAAATACTATTTTGTTACATTTCATCAAGAATATGGGAAAATCTTTCTAATTTCTTTTTTAGTTTCCATACACAACATTGATCGATTAATAATATTTTGATAGTCAGTGGCCTACTATATCTGTGACTCTTCTCCATGTATATAGCCTTTCTACATCTGTGACCATGTGCTTGTTCTCATTACCTGGTGGAAGTACGCCAGTACCATTATATGTAGAGATGGCCCCACATATGGCAATTCTTCCAAATGTCTTCATCTGGGGGATAACGGTGTTTGAAAACTCTCCACCTACCTAAATAGACAGGAAAACAAAAATAAAACCTCAAATAATTTAAACAGGAGAAGATTCAAGAGAATCATTAAGTCACAATCATTATTTCATAATACTTGTTTTAGCAGCAACAAGACTGATTGAATTAGCACAACAGTGCAGAAATTGCAGTTAAAGACATTAGAAATAGCCATTTCCATTTGACTCTAAGAACATAACTTATATTGGGGTTCTCTGATCAGCCCAGTAATCCCATTGTCTTATAATTTAAAAGTATGGAAAAATGCTCAAAAGGTGTATGAAGAACAAAGTTGGAGAACTCATACTTTCTGATTTCAAAACTTACAAAGCTAAGTTAATTAAGTCAGTGTGAGAATAGAAATATAGGTCAATGGAACTGAATTGAGAGTCCAAAAATGAACTCTTACATTTATGATCAATTTTCTATACAAGTACTAAAACAATTGAAGAGGGAGAAAAGTCTTTTCAACAAATGGTGCAGAACAACTGGATATGCACATGGAAAATAATGGAATTGGACCTCTTCCATAATCTTTTCCATATATAAAAATTAACTTAAAATGCATCACAGACCTGAATATAAGAACTAAAACTATAGAAGAAATATAGGAGTAAATCTTCATGACCCTGAGTAAGGCAAAGCCTTCTTAGACATGACTCCCAAAGCTCAAACAACAAAAGAAAAAAGTAAATTGGGCTTCATTGAAATTTAAAACTTTTGTGCTTCAAAGGATACCATTAAGAAAGTGAAAGGTGCTTATAGAATAGGAGAAAATATTTGCAAGCCATATACAGTCAATCCTTATTATTGGTGGATTTCACATTTGCAAATTGAATTAAATTTGCTAAAATTTGTAACCTCAAAACCATTAATCTCAGAGCTTTCCCTGGTCACTTGCAGACATGCACAGAGCAGTGAAAACGACCCAGGTATTCCTCGCTGAGGCTGAACAAGGCCTTCCTGTTTCAAGTCTCATACAGAGATGACAAGAGGATGGAGACAGTAGTGGGCAGTGCAGTGTAGTTCAAAAGGCTCTGGCTCTGGGGAGAGTTGGATGCGGTATGAATCCCAACATTGGGGTATCAGCTAGTGAAGCGGCCATACACGAGTTACTTAACATTTCTGAACCTCCTTTTCTCTTTCATAAAATAAAATAGAATCTACTAGGATGAGCTGTTTTTAAAATTTAAGATTATAATCCATGTGAGATATGTGTATATATATGTATATATACATATTTTCCCTAGGAGCAGTGGTTCAGCATTGGTGGTGACTTGATAGATAACTACTGCAAATAATGAAAATCGACTGAATCTAATAAGGGACTTGTATCCAGAATACATAAAGAACTCTTACAACCCCACAAATAACCTAACTGAAAAATGGGCAAAGGATTTGAAATGGCATTTCTTCAAAGGAGATATATAAATGGTCAAAAAGTACATAAAAGATCCTTTGTATCATTAGCTACAGGGAAATGAGAGTCAAAATCACAATGAAATATCACTTGAAACCCACTAGGATGGATATTATCAAAAAGACAAGTAATAGCAAGTGTTGGTGAGAATGTGGGGAAATTGGAACCCTTATACTTTGCTAGTGGGAATGTAAGATATTGCAATCAATCACTTTGCAAAGCAGTTTGGCAGTTCCTTAAAATGTTAAACATGAAGTTACCATATGACCCAGCAATTCTACTCCTAGGTGCATACCCGAGAGAAATGAGAACATGTCCACATAAAAACTTGCACATGGCCGGGCATGGTGGTTCACGCCTGTAATCCTAGCACTCTGGGAGGCCGAGGTGGGTGGATTGCTCAAGGTCAGGAGTTCCAAACCAGCCTGAGCAAGAGCAAGACCCCGTCTCTACTAAAAATAGAAAGAAATTAATTGACCAACTAGAAATATACATACAAAAAATTAGCTGGGCATGGTGGCGCATGCCTGTAGTCCCAGCTACTCGGGAGGCTGAGGCAGTAGGATCACTTGAGCCCAGGAGATTGAGGTTGCTGTGAGCTAGGCTGATGCCACGGCACTCACTCTAGCCTGGGCAACAAAGTGAGACTCTGTCTCTAAAAAAAATAAAAATTAAAAAAAAAAACAAAAAACTTGCACATGAATGTTCACAGCAACATTATACATAATACCCCAAAAGTGTAAACAACTCAAATGCCTACCAACTGATAAATGGATAAATAAAATGTGTTATATTCATACAATGGAATATTATCCAGCTATAAAAAAGGAAGTACTGATAAATGCTACAATATCGATGAACCTTGAAAACATTTTGCTAAGTGAAAAAATCCAGTCACAAAAGGCCACTTTTGTGGGGGGTAATGGAGGGTGACTGCTAATGAGTCATGTGTCTTTTTGGGGGTGATGAAAATATTCTAAAACCAATTATGATGATGGTTGTATGATTTTGTGAATATACTAAAAACCACTGAATTCTATATTTTAAATGAGTAAATTATATGGCATGTGAATTATAGCTCAAAGTTCTTTTCTTTAAAGGTATAAGTACATATATTCTAGATGGACACTCTAGAAATATATTCTCTTATATATATATATATATATATATATATATATATATACTTTATAAATAAATCACATATTAAGTCCAGTTTGTACTTACATTATCAAAATAACAATCATAACCATCAGGAGAGGCTTTTTTCAAAGTTTCTTTCAAAGACTCTATTGTCTTATAGTTAAAGGCAACATCAAATCCAAGCTTTTTAAGGTAGGCAACCTTGTCATCAGACCCTGCTGCTCCAACAACTTTGCAGCCCTAAATGAGAAGAAAAGGAAACCATTAATAAGCCACAAACATGGACCAACACCACTTTCCTAGTCTAGTATGATCAGCTTCCCCAACACCAGTCTCTAAGGTGCTGAGCCACATGTATGAGAAACAGAACAATGGAACAGACCCCAAAGGTGAAATTAGTCCCTGAACTGGCCTACAACCCAACTTCAGCTTGCTTCTGACCACCCAAGAGATCCCTTCTATGTTTATTTGGTTTGCAGTTTGTTTCAACCTGCTGGTTTTGTTAAACACTTTATCAATTTGACTTTCTTGGTTCTTTATTTTTGGACTTCTCTTCCTTCCAGTGAGGTGTATTCTATCTCTTGGTACAGTGGTTCTTTAGACTATTATCCTGGCTCAGTTGAGTGACTCCTATATGAAGGACAGCTGTCATGGTAACCACCCTTATCCTTTGATTCGATCACAAGCACAGGACTGGATGCTGCCCAATCACAGAGGAACTGGAGAGCATTACAAAAAGCACTTTGAGGATGAGATGACAGATTATGTTGGTGCATAGAAAGTAGCTCTTCAGAAAGCTCTCTTATATCCTATAAATGTATCATGAAGACAAGAATATGAGCCACTGTGCATTTTCAACTGGGAAAGACCCCACATGGCTTCATACATTTATCTTTGTACAAACAGTGACAGTCATATACTTTTTCCATTCCTTCATGATTCAAGAAAAAACTATTTTGCAAGAGCTCCATCCTTGGTCCTTTTCCCTTCTAACCCTATATACTTTCAAAGGATGCTCTCATTTACTCTTATGACCTCATTGCCTCCTTTGTGCAGACGACTGACTCCATTTCTATTAATTCTAGCCCATGCCCCTCTCCTGAGTTCCCAATCAGTATTTCCAACAACCTATAAGAATGTCTTAGGCCAGGCGCAATGGCTCACGCCTGTAATCCTAGCACCCTGGGAGGCTGAGGCAGGGGATTGCCTAACGTCAGGAGTTCAAGACCAGCCTGAATAAGAGCGAGACCCTGTTTCTACTAAAAACAGAAAAAAAATTAGCTGGGCATAGTGGCACATAAGAGGATCAGTCGAGCCCAGGAGTTTGGGGCCAGCCTGGGCAACATAGCAAAAATAAATAAATAACCAAAGAATAGGTTTAAGGGCAAGTCCTATCAAACTTTTGGGGAAAAAAATCTCTTACGGTTTTAATAAAACATTTGAAATTAGAATACTGGAAATATCCCTAATTTATTTTGTAAGTTAAGCATAACCCAACTCTAGCTACATTTCAGAACAAAAATAAAACTTTAAACCAAACTCACCTATGAATATACACACATAAATTCTGTTTAAAATGTTATGAAATCAATTACTAAGGAATAAATCCGCAATATACTATATGTAAGTAAACCTTACTCTAGAAATGTCAGAATGGCTTGACGTTGGAAAACTAATATAATTCATTAGCTGAAGAGTTAACTTGATAAATGCTACAATGGTGTTTGATAAAATTCAACATCAATTCCTATTTACCTATTTAATAAACTAATTCTGCAAGCTCTATGGTAGCCTCCATATGTATATATTCCAGGCTCCCATTAGCACTGGAGACCAGCTTGAGCCCTTGCCTGTTGGTTATACTATATTCTTCCACCTAACTTGTCCCCTTAGGAACTAGGTTCTGAAGCATGCATTCCAGCTTCTGGCAGAGGGTCAAACCTGACCACCTGGCAACATTCCCATTATGTAATATTAATGACAAATCCTGACTATGTCTCAGTTGCCTGCTGCCTTGTATCCCCACCATCAGATGGGATCCCTTGAGCACACACCTGCCCAAACAGGAACCAACATTTCTGTGCCCTGACTACTTCCCAGGAGTTAGTTCCCAAGCTATGGCTCCACTGCTTTGGGATGAATGCCCATTTCTTTTTAGTGCAACAGCCTTTGCAATGGGGCCACATGGAAAATGACTCTTGGTTGGCTGATTTCTAGTCCCACCTTCTATTGCTGGGTATGATCATGAAGATTAAGCTGCAGCAAGAGAATGTTCAGGAAAAAATATGAAACTAGTTAATGCTTATAAACTCACCACTCTAGATGGAGGCCATGCCTGACTTGATACTTGAAGTGTTATCAAATAAGAATGTTTACCTTCTCTTTGCTGTTTTCCCCATTCCCCCATTTTTTTTTTTTTTTTTTTTTTTTTTTTGAGACAGAGTCTCATTCTGTTGCCCAGGTAGAGTGCTGTGGCATCAGCCCAGCTCACAGCAACCTCAAACTCCTGGCTTCAAGCGATCCTCCTGCCTCAGCCTCCCGATTAGCTGGGACTAAAGGCATGCACCATCATGCCCAGCTAATTTTTTCTATATATTTTTACTTGGCCAATTAATTTCTTTCTATTTTTGGTAGAGATGGGGTCTCACTCTTGCTCAGGCTGGTTTTGAACTCCTGACCTTGAGCGATCCACCCTCCTCGGCCTCCCACGCTAGGATTACACGCTAGCGATTACAGGCGTGAGCCACCACGCCCGGCCTCCTCCCTTTCTTAATCTCCAATTTCTGAACAAGAACCACTAGATTATATACTTCCTGAGGCCAAAGAAGCTCTGTGGGTTCACTGTTGCATTCCCAACGCAGGCCGTGGGTCTTGAAATAATCAGTTGTTACTGGGGAAGACACTTACCTTGAGCTTCGCTATCTGCCCCACTACAGAGCCCACTGCTCCTGCTGCTGCATTCACCATCACTGTTTCTCCACCCTTCACACCGCAGATCTCAAGTAGGCCAAAGTAGGCAGTTATGCTAAGGAAAGAAAATTAAGGATATGTGACTAGATTGTTTATTTCCCCTATAACTCATCTATGTATACCTTGAAGGCCTTCTTGGCAGCCCAGTGCCATGGGTCCAGGAAAAAGACAAAAACCAAAAAAAACCCAAAAAAGACTAGTACAGATCAAGATCGAGAAGTTGCTGTCCCCTCTCTACTGATACTAAGCTTGTATTAGCCTTTGGGGCTTTGCATGAACCCTAGGGAGAAGAAAAAGGAAATCCTGAGTTTTAAACCTGAAATGATTTGAGTTGTGTTTTATTTATTTATTTATTTATTTATTTATTTATTTATTTATTTATTTATTTATTTATTTATTTATTTATTTTACTACACCAGCCAAAATGAGGGATTAAGATAGAAATGATGTTCAGTAGTAGAAAATTTTAAGTGATATTTTTGTATCCCTGAATCTGAACCAATAAAATCCATACCCATTATGGTGGTTGTTAAGCCATTTGCAAAATTGCAGACGGATGCATGTAAAGTTATTTCTGTATAAAACAGAAGCTATGTGTTGGCATAACTTTATCTTATTTAGCCTCTGACTATATTTGGGGCCCATGAGAAGTGGTTATGGAAGGGAAGGCAGTAACAGGCATAGGCAGCATTTTTCCTGAGGATCCAAATGTCTAATATTCCCCCAACACAGTGTTTTTTCAAAAGATGGATGCAGCACTACCTGCATCAGAATCACCTGAGTATTTGTTAAAAATTTAGATTCTAACTGGACGTGGTAGCTCACGCCTGCTATTCCAGCCTTAGTAAGGCTTTGTAAGGCAGGAGGATCGAATGAGGCCAGGAGTTCAAGACCAGCCTGGGCCATATACTGACACCCCATCTCTATTAAAAATTTAAAAATTAGCCAATCATGGTGGTGTACCCGTGTAGTTCCAGCTACGTGGGAGGCTGAGACAGGAGGATTGCTTGAGCCCAGGAGTTTGAGGGTGCAGTAGGCTATGATCATGCCACTGTGCTCCAGCCTGGGCAACAGAGTGAGACCCAGTCTCAAGAACATAAAAATAAAAAATATTTAGCTTCTCAGACCCACTGATTCAGAAATATGGGGATACAGCTATGGCAATGCTAAGACTCTAGGTGATTCTTATAAATGCTGGCAAATGGGAACCACTACCTTAATGAATGCTGATACCAGTGTTTTCTGGGCAAGCTAGCCTAACCCCAAAAGAGAAGCAGAGGGTACATTTTCTGATTGTATCATTCCACCGATGACAACCAGCATCCCCCTGAGTCAGCTTTCAATTAGACATATCAACCCAAGATACATAGGGCTTTTTGCTAACATTGCCTCCTTTTAAAATAAAATGGAGATAAGACAAAGAAGCCAACAGTAAAGAAATTCTAGAGATAAAATTAAAGGTGCACTTCGGACTAAGAGGGATTTAATAGAATCAACAGCTTGGAGAGCAAAACACAGGAGCTCTTCCAACTTAATTGAAGGAAATGATGCAAGACTTTGAGGGAATGTTAAATCTGTGGCCTCTGGACAAGTGAAAGACACCCTAGATTTCAAAGTTCTTTTATAGTCTATAGCAGAAGTCTGAGCATTCTTGAAAGTAGACCCACCCCATTGGTCAGTCACTCAAAATGCCAGGAAGTCTCAAAGAATAGGTGGTGTGTTGCTTAGAAATAGGCATGCATGGCCGGGCGCTATGGCTCACACCTGTAATCCTAGCACTCTGGGAGGAGGAGGTCAGGAGTTCGAAACCAGCCTGAACAAGAGCGAGACCCCATCTCTACTATAAATAGAAAGAAATTAACTGGCCAACTAATACATATAGAAAAAATTAGCCAGGCATGGTGGCACATGCCTGTAGTCCCAGCTACTCAGGAGGCTGAGACAGCAGGATTGCTTGAGCCCAGGAATTTGAGGTTGCTGTGAGCTAGGCTGACGCCACAGCACTCACTCTAGCCTGGGCAACAAAGCGAGACTCTGTCTCAAAAAAAAAAAAAAAGAAAGAAAGAAATAGGCATGTATAACTCCTCCCCCTAAGTCACTGAGAACCACTGGTATAAGGTGGTTTGGAGTAAAACTATATTCCTTAGGGGCTTGGAGCAATATACACCAATGAATAAATTATCTTCTCTTTCAAGAGTCAAGATTACCTCATATTTTACAAGTTACTTTCTCCCTAAGTCACAGGAGACTTGCTCCAAGGTTTCCACATGTCTACCTCCTCCTCTATTCTCCTACACCTTGCTCACAATCCATGGGGAAGGATGGGTGGGCTAACAAAGGGAGAGGAAGAGCTCTCACCAGTAGAGGGTACAGGGCTTGCAGGAAAAGACCAGGAAGTGCTGTAATTCTGGTTAGCGTACATTCATTGAATGGAAGAAGATATTAAGCATCCTCTAATTTTGCAATGATATCCTTGGCAGAGGCAATTCTGATGAGTTCAAATTCTGAGTGGAATATGAACTTGGGATGTATGGTAGTTTGTTAGAGGCTGATCATATGGGGGGTACATATATTTCCATGTCATTCTTTAGAAGTCCTTCAAAGTGTAAAAAAGGAAAAGGGAGGGAGGATTGGAAGAAGGGAGAGAGAGAAGAAAACCATAACTTAGAGAAAAGATATAAATGAATTCCAGGCTAGGAAAGTTTTAAGGACCCCAAAGGCAATGACCTTGCTTTTCCAGGGCATAAAAGGAAATTTGGGATCTAAAATTCAGTTGCGATCTGGAGAGTGGAAACAGGATGAACTAATTAGGAGTCAGAGTGATAAGCCCATGAGAAGCTTGAGTATTTTATATCTGTACCAAGTTGAGTGACTGCACAACCATACGTGTGGTTCATCTCAATTATTTAAATTTCAGATCCCCTTACACTTTAGGAACTCAAATGTATACAGGGAAAGGTGAGGAAGAGGAGAGTACAGAAAGGCCCACGTAGATTGAACTCTCTTTCCCTTTTTAAACTCTGGAGTGAAGGTGATAAGTGGAGCCAGGAGCCTCCCAGGGACAGGAGGAGCTGGTTCCCTTGTGTCACCATTTGCCAGCTGCTTGGGAGGGATCATGCCCATGTTGCTTCTTTGTACCTGAGGGTCTCTGACCTGATTTTCTGCCTCTTTCCTTCAGTTCCAAGGCTAACTGTAGCCCACCTTTCTTCCCTTTCTTCTTTGTACTTATTTACTTATTTATTTTTAATTGACAAATAAAAATTGTGTGTGTGTGTGTGTGTGTATAGAGAGAGAGAGAGAGAGTGTACAACATGTTGTTTTGAAATATGTATGCATTATGGAATGGTTAATCGATCTACTTAATATAAGCAGCATCTCACAGTTACCACTTTTGTGGTGAGAACACTTAAACTCTACCCTTTTAGCCCTTTTCAAGTATACAATATGTTATTAAGTATAGTTACCATGTTGTACAATAGATCTCTTGAACTTATCCCTCTCATCTAACTGAAATTTCGTATCCTTTAACCAACATCTTCCCAAACCCTGACACCCCCCCCAGCCACAGAACCATCATTGCACTCTCTACTTCTACGAGTTTAACTTTTTTAGATTCCACACAAGTAAAATCATGTGGCATTTGTTTCATTTAACATAATGTCCTCTAAGTTCATACATGTTGTTGTAAAATGACAGGATTTCCTAAAGGCTGAATAGTATTCCATTGTGTATAAACACCACATTTTGTTTATCCTGTCATCCACTGGTGGGCACTTAGGTTGATCTTCTTCCCTTCTTATTCCTACCATCTTATACCATCTCCTCGAATCAGCCCCTGAGCCTATAATGCCTCAAATATCATTTTGTTGACCAAGTTCTGGACAAACCATTTCAGAAAACCAGAGTGTCAAGGCATTCAAACAAACGAAATATACCCCATGAAACTCACCCTGTCATGCCGACTGTCCCCAGAGCCAACGACAGTGGTATCGAATCTGGCCACTCTTTCGGCAGCTTTTCCAGATCTTTCCCATCAGAAATGGAGTGGCTTGTCCAGCCCAAAAAAGCCGCTACGATAGTTCCTTTTGGGAAGGCTGAGTTTTTACTTTCCACAACTCTGAAAGATAAAGCACATTAGTGCGTGTGACACCCCTTCCCTTTCCAGGGAGTCGGGACACTGTGTGGCTAGTGTTGATAAAAGGGCACTGAGGCTGATATTCCATCATGGACACCCTACCACACCTCTCCATCTTAATTCCTCGTCCTTGGCATAGGGGCCATTAGAGACGAACTTTCCCACCTGGCCCAGCATCTGTCTCTGTCCTCAACCAGTCCTCTTTGTTTCAAGCAAGAGGCCTCCATCCCCTGGCTCAAAGTGCTCTGGACACCAGCCTCTTCTCATCTTTAGGGCCTCCCTCTATCCATGCCCTAGCCCTCCTGCTCCGGAATCTTTTTTTTTTTTTTTTTTTTTTTTTGCAGTTCTTTAATCAGATAATGCTCCGGAATCTTTAACATTTTCCTCTCTACTGTCCCTTCACTCAGCATATAAGCAAGCTCAACTCTGCCATCTCATAGTCCCACCCTTTCCCTCCCTCTTCTCTCTTTCCTCTTCCTTTTACAGCCAAACTTCACTTGATACCCGCTGCAACCTGCCTTCCATCCCCTCTGCTCCACTAAGGCCAAACCACCTCCAGATTGCAAAATCCCATGCATATTCTTTCATTGTTATCTGACTTTACCTTTCTACCCTACTCAACACAAAACTACCCCCCCCATTGGTTTCCAGATACCAATTCCTCCTGGCTTTGTGCCTCCCTCTCTAAGCTGCCCCCTTTCAGTCTTGATTACGATTCCCTCTTGCTTGTCTCCTCCCACTCTTATGTTCTTTACTGTCTTCCCCGTCATAAATTTATATAACTCTACAAAATTTAAAATATATAAAATATCAATTTTAATCCCACAATACAAAGACAACTGCTAACATTTTGGTACATTTTATGGGAGTCAATGAATGATACATTTAAAAATGGATGTTACATGTATTTACATAATTGAAGTAAGTGGATATGTTTTGTAACCTAATTTTTCTCCCAACATTATACTAGTCTATATAATTTATACTTTTTTCATGTTAGTAAGAATCCTTCAAAAACTGTAATGAATTTAATTATTCCCCCAATTATTAGGTTATTTCCAGTGTTTTTTCTAATGTAAATGATATTTTTATTAATATTCATAAATATGAATTTATTTCCTTTGCTCATATTTCTATAAGAGGAATTAATAGGTCAGAGATTATTAAAACATATGTAACTCTTGCTGCATATTGCTAACTTCCTTTCTAGAAGGCTGTGCCAACTTCTGCTTCTACTGGCAATGTTTGAGTATATCATTACATCATCTCCACCACTGGGTATTATATTTTTAAAAATATAACTTACCAAGTAAAAAAACACAAATACAGGTATGTTTCTTTGACTATTAGTAAGAAATATATAAGACCTATGTGAAAAAAACTGTTAATGGGAGATAAGACAAAATGGACAAATGGATGGGCATTCGTTGTGCTTAGAGAGAAAGACTGTAAAGATACAAGTTTATTCACTTTTTTTTTTTGAGACAGAGTCTCAGTCTGTTGCCTGGGCTAGAGTGCTGTGGTGTCAGCCTAGCTCAAAAAAACCTCCAACTCCTGGGCTCAAGCAGTCCTTCTACCTCAGCCTTTGGAGTAGCTGGGACTACAGGCATGTGCCATCATGCCCAACTAATTTTTTCTATATATTTTTAGTTGTCCAGCTAATTTATGTCTATTTTTAGTAGAGACAGGGTCTTGCTGTTGCTCAGGCTGGTCTCTAACTCCTGACCTTGAGCGATCCTCCCGCCTCGGCCTCCCAGAGACCTAAGATTACAGGCGTGAGCCACTGCGCCCAGCCATATATTCCTGGGAATTTAATGTAAAGTAATACTCACCCAGTGAGCAAAGAATACATAGACATCCACATATAGATATATATGTGTCCCTTAAAGAATTATTTGTAGTAGAAAAAACTAGAAACAGTTATCAGTAGTAGTAGTTAAATGGCAAAATACAATGAAATAATTTGCAGTTATTAAAAGATAGGTGCCAGGCCAGGTATGGTGGCTCACGCCTGTAATCCTAGCACTCTGAGAGGCGAGGCGGGCGGATTGCTCGAGGTCAGGAGTTCCAAACAGCCTGCTGGGCATCGAGACCCCGTCTCTACTATAAATAGAAAGAAATTAATTGGCCAACTAATATATATATAGAAAAAATTAGCCGGGCATGGTGGCACATGCCTGTAGTCCCAGCTACTCAGGAGGCTGAGGCAGGAGGATTGCCTGAGCCCAGGAGTTTGAGGTTGCTGTGAGCTAGGCTGATGCCACGGCACTCACTCTAGCCTGGGCAATAAAGCAAGACTCTGTCTCAAAAAAAAAAAAAAAAAAAAAAAGACAGGTGGCATATTTATATTTATGTACTATCAACAAAAGATATCCATAACATATTAAGTGAGAAAAAGCAATTTGTGAAGGGCATATAAGCCTATTTGAAAATATATTAAAAAGTATATATATTGAACAATTTTTAAAATAATACATTAACAACAGTTGTTTTTAAGGTTTGGGTGATAGGGGAACTTTTAGTCTCCAAGGTAAAAATTTTTTGTTTTTTTGAATTTTTATGATAATTATACACTAGATGAATACTTTTTTTTTTAGTAATTAAAAGTAAGAATGGCAAAGTGAAGCTGAAATGATGACAAGTTCACATCCTTCCTCCCTCCAAATTAGTCAGGAAGGGGGCAGGATTTCCACAATCAAACACTGAGTCAACCACACAAGCTGAAAAGATCGTAGGAGCAATGGACAGAGGGAATGCCCAGTAGGAAATAAAGAGGAGACATATTTTCCAAACATTGGGACAAATGGAAATAATTACCTGGCCACTTGCTGCCCCATCATTGTGTCACCCTCATTCAATCTTTTGGATGCTATTCTGGAAAAAAAAAAATCCATTCTTAATACACAAGAGCATCTGGGAAAAACTGGCTTGAGTTTCAAGCCAAGTGGAAAACTGCTGAGTAAGCATGTGCAGCAATGAAGCCCAGATAGATGAGGGCAGGACTATGGGGTGAGATGGCAGAGGAAAGCTGTAAGAGGGAGTTCTGCTCTGTGATCCCAGAGATCAGTCTGGCAGAATTTTTAATGAATTAACATGAGAGTCTTACCACTACATTCAATGAACTATGAGTTTCTACCAATGACTTTTAAAATATAACCCCAGCGCCACTGGGTACTTGTCACCCAAAACATTAGCTACACAAAAAGGGATGGTAATTAACATTTTGAAACTCAGTTTTTCACTTGAGATTTAAATCTTTATCAATCAGCTATGAAAAAAAAAATATTTAAAAGGATGATGGCTACATTACTTACCTAGGCAAAAAATTACTGAGGCCTTAGTGGCCCAGGGAGGCCTTTTATTCCCCCCCCCCCCTTGACTGGTTTGCTAACTGGGTATACAAGTTTTAGTCAACTACAGATTACCTAAATTAACAGAATACAGGTCAATGGAAGGTAAGAAAAGCTGATTTTAGCCTTAGCATCTGCCTCTATCCAAATTCTTTTCCAGTAGGGAAATGGACAAATTGGGGTTGGGGTTCTTTATTCTTTTCATATTTTTCTGAAAGCAATTCTGGTAAGCAACGAAAGGCAAAATTGTGCAGAACAGATAGGAGATGGCTGCAAAATAAAGGGACCAAAGTGATCCCTCCCAAGGTTCTTAGACCTTTGCCTGCAAAAGGTCTAAGAACATCCATGAATCCCATGACTGATACTATGCAGGGAGAAATGGAGGGACAGTGACAGTGTTTTGAATCAGTTGGACATTTTAAAGGGAACTACTTCCAAATAGCGACCAATACACAACAAAAGCATTTTTAGGAGAAAAATAATACCTCATGTAAGGATCCACAGTGAGGAACAAAGCTTCAAGCAGGACCTCTACAAAATAAAGCATTCCATAGGCAATTAGAAATGCAAGGCCTGATGCCTTTGTTGTTTTTGGCATTCTAAATAGTCACAGATAATATTTCTGCTTCACAGTTGTTTTTTCATCTGTACTTTCCATTGAAGTGACAAGAAGGGTTCTCACATTTAGCCCAGCCCAGTTAATAATTATAACAATAATAGTAATGATGTTATTTATCCAGCACTCATTCCATGCTACACATTTCATTTGATGTTCTCAAAATAAATATTGTTTTCATTTTATTTAAGTTTAAGTTAAGTAATTTGCTTAAGGCCATATTTGTAACCATTATGTTACTCTGCTCACATAGAATTTCATTACCAGCCCCAGGTAATATTAAAAAATATGCATTTTTCTGGAGTTACACTCATATGCACATTCTCTGGAGCTTTGGATCCGAGTTGTGGCTATTACAACTTACAGAGGACTGATAACTTTGCCACGCTACTTGATTGCATCCCCTTGTCTCAAAAGCTTACCCATGGCCAGGCGCGGTGGCTCACGCCTGTAATCCTAGCACTCTGGGAGACTGAGGCGGGTGGATTGCTCAAGGTCAGGAGTTCAAAACCAGCCTGAGCAAGAGCGAGACCCCGTCTCTTCTATAAATAAAAAGAAATTAATTGGCCAACTAATATATATATAGAAAAAATTAGGCAGGCATGGTGGCGCATGCCTGTAGTCCCAGCTACTCGGGAGGTTGAGGCAGGAGGATAGCTTGAGCACAGGAGATTGAGGTTGCTGTGGGCTAGGCTGACACCATGGCACTCACTCTAGCCTGGGCGACAAAGTGAGACTCGGTCTCAAAAAAAATAAATAAATAAAATAAAGACACCTCCAAGGCAAGTAAAAAATGGAAATCGACACAGAAAGTCTTCCCACCCACCACCCGGCTAGAGTTTCTCTAGCGCGCTGAGCAGCTACGAGGCATGCAGATGGTCCCAGTTTCTCCCCTCACACGAAGCTAATCCTAAGAAAAAGCATCAAACGCAAAGAACCTAATAGAAGTGCATGCACCTCTTTCAGACGGATACAGTCGCCGCGTTCTTAGGCAAACAGTGGGGGGAACACCTGAAAACCACAGGGGGCGCCGCTGCTCCGCCCCATTCTCAGGCGCGCCCTTCCTTTGGCCCAGAGATTGGAGTCTACACTTGCCGCCTCTCAAGACCAAGCGAGGATGGAGGCTGCCCCGAGCTCTCGGGTCGGGACGCCAGGCTGGGACTGAACGCCCCCACATCACGTGGGAGCCGCTCCTTCCCCACGAGGGAACCCGCTAGAGACGAGCCCGCAGCGGCCGGAGATTTCCCCTCGTCCCGCGACCAGTCCGGGGAGGAGGGCACACTCCCAACCCGGAGGGCACACCCCCAACCCGGAGGGCACACCCCCAACCCGGAGGGCACACCCCCAACCCGGAGGGCACACCCCCAACCCGGAGGGCACACTCCCAACCCGGAGGGCACACTTCCGCGTTGCAAAGGGAGCTGCTGTGGCGATGCGATCCGCAGCCAGGCTTCCTTTTTTTTTTTAAAATTAATATTATTTTTAATAGACAAATCATAATTGTGTGCTATGAGTGCTGTGTGACACTTTGATGTGTGCATACAATGTGGGGTGGTTAAATCAAGCTAATGAATATATCTGGCATTTAGTTTACCTATTGTTTTTATTTTCAGACATTTTACTGTTAATTATTTTGAAATGTACATTATTGACGGTAGTCGCCCTGCTATGCAATAGATCTCAAAATAAATTCCTCCTATCTGTGTCAGAGTGTGTGCTCTTTGACCAACAACTCCTCCCTCCCTTCCCCAGCCCCTCCCAGCCTCCAGTAACCGCCGCTCTGCTCCCTGCTCCCGTGAGTTCAACTTTCTTAGACTGCACATATTCTTGCCCCTCTTCCCCAAACGGCGACCACCGGGAATTCTGAACTTGCCACGGGCTCAGAACCACCCCTGGAATGGGCGTGGCCCCAGAGGCAGGCGCGGTCCTGGGACAGTCTCCGCGACCTCGGGAGGGGGACCGAGCGGTCCGGTCGGGTCGGCGCACGCTCGCCCCCACGGTGCCGGCGCGCGGACTCCCAGCCTGCCTCCCCGCTTCCACCCGTGCCCGGGGCTGCAGTCCCGCGGTTCCTCCGCCAGCCCCTCCCCGGCGCCGGCGGCTACGGGGTGGCCCGGAAATGCAACCAGGCTTTGCACTCGTCTGCGATCGGGAGAAAAAGAAAGTAGGGTGTCTACTTACGGGGAGTCCGCAGGGTCCGCCACTGGGAAGGCGCGGCGGAGCGCGCGGGGCCTGGATTTATCCCGCGTCCCAGGAGAGGGTGGGGCCACCCCGGGGCGGGGCTACTCGGGTCACCGGAGGGAAAATCAGAGTTGGAAGAATGCATGCATGCGTGTGTGTGTGTGTGTGTGGTCTGTGTGTGTGTGTGTGTGTGTGTGACTTTCCCGATAGTAAAAGCCCTGTAATTGGGACCCTTGCGGGAAGATGCCCTGGGGGAGGACTTGGCCGCAGCCTCGACCGGGCAGGCTGGGAGGGGCCAAAGGCAGGGTCTGGGACAGCCCAGCCCGAGCCTGGGCCGTGTGCTGGCTCCTGTCGCCGGGCTCCGCCTCAGCGCCACAGTCCCCGCCTTCATCGCGGGGCCCGAGCGCTGACCCCCGCCTGCCTGGGCCGGGTCTGCCTGGTGAGCACCTCCTCAACTTACACGAGCCAGTTCTAGGGTCGCCCCCTCTGGGTGACTCCTTCCCAGACTCTCCCAGGTGGGAGTGAGCGCTCCTGTCCCGGAGGCGCCCAACCATCACATCCCTGGGGTCCAAGGCAGGGGATGTGAGCAAAGCCAAGTCTCAGGCTTCAGGTTGCTCAGGTTCGAAGCCTGCGCCTGCCGCTTACTTTGTGCAGTTGTAAGAGAGCTGCTTCAGTTCTTCCTGCCTCAGTTCACCCCATCTGCAAGATGGGCATAAGAACAGTGCTTAACCCCCAGAAATTATGAAAATTCAATGTCTTTTTAAAGAATAAAATGAGTCAATAAATATCAAGTGTTTCCACTAACTAGTTCAAGTGCATGGTAAATATTCAATGAATGCTCTCAGTAACAATCTTTTGACTTCTCCACTGGCCTAAGTAAGCCCCAGGCACCGCACACTGGGAACTAATTCAATTATACACCCCCAACCTCTAGTCCAATCTTTGTCAGTCACGTCATATAAATAATGAAACAATGCAAAGATATTTAAAGAACTTTAAAACTTCCCCTTAATCTTCTCCATTCGCCCCTCTTTGGAGTAACCAGTGTTACCAGTGCAGTACTTACCCTTTCGCTCCATCTACATAATCATTATATGTTCATATAAAGGGTTGTTTTGGTTTTTTGCTGTTTTTACAAAAAATGGGGTTATTCTAAAGATGGTATTCCAACACCTTTTTTCCTGACATTTCTACAAGAAAACAGATACAGCTATAACTCACTACTTGTTCTGCAATGTTGAGGTTGTTTCTAGTTTTGTTTTGCTTTGTCACAATCGACGAGGCTGCAATAAGTGCTCTTGTATGAATTGCTTTACATTCTAATGCTTTTATTTCCATAGGCTAGATTCCCAAAACCGAGATTATGGGTTCAAAAAATTTTTGTTTTAAACATATTAGGTTGAATCAAATGAAACTATTGATATTCAATCATTCTGACTTGAAAAATAGCAATTTCATAAAGTGAAACCTAATATACTGCAGATTGCTTTCCAAAAATATTGTAGCAATTTACATTTCTACCAGCAATGTATGACAGTTCTTGTAACTTAAAGCTTACATCAGAACAGATGTTATTGTTGTTTTTACTTTTTGACAATCTGATGAGTGCAAATGAGCTTATACACCCCCACCCCAAGGGCTGAGACCTGACTTTATTCACATTTGTAACTTCATACCTACCTGTATCATTTGAGATTTTTTTTTTCTTGCAAATAACAGAAGGCTCATACTGGCTTAAAAAAATAAAGGAGAGTTATTGGCTCATGTGACTGGAAAGTCCAGAAGCCTTGGCTTCAAGATTGGTCTGAATTAAGGTTTCAAGATTTCATCCTTACATACTACTTTCCATGGCATCAGCATAATCCTAAGGCTTGCTTCCCTCCTGGTGACAGAATGGTTGCAGCAGCTCTGCTACTCTACAGGAAAGAAAAATATCTATCTCCCAGAATTCCTAGCAAAAGTCCTCCACCTCTCACTGACTGGACTGTCTCTAAACCAATCCCTGGCTAATTAAAGGTTGAGAGCTTATGCCTGGGTTACCCTACACCAATCTTGTGTCATCAAGGCTAAGAGTCCCTGTTTCTCCTTGCCAGACATTCAATCAACAAGGCATTGAGTGAAAATTTTTGAACTCTGAGAGACAGATTTTTAGTTTCCTACATATGATACAGCATTAAACAATAATCAATTGTTGGCTGTACAGTAATAATTGGATATTAGCTGTATAGTGTTTCAGTTTCACAGTAAAGGTTGTCTGTTTTATGACTTCAAAACTCTTCAACAGGCCGGCGCAGTGGCTCACGCCTGTAATCCTAGCACTTTGGGAGGCCGAGAAGGGCGGATTGCTCAGGGTCAGGAGTTCGAAACCAGCCTGAGCAAGAGTGAGACCCTATCTCTACTAAAAATAGAAAGAAATTAATTGGCTAACTAAAAATATATAGAAAAAAAAAATTAGCCGGGCATGGTGGTGCATGCCTGTAGTCCCAGCTACTCGGGAGGCTAAGGCAGGAGGATCGCTTGAGCCCAGGAGTTTGAGGTTGCTGTGAGCAAGGTTGATGCCATGGCACTCTAGCCCAGGCAACAGAGTGAGACTCTGTCTCAAAAAAAACCAAACTCTTCAATAAAAGAGTCGAAAGAACTCTGGCCGTCTCTAAGAGTGTATATAAATTTGCTAGGGCTACCATAACAAAATACTGAAGACTAGGTGGCTTAAACAACAGAAATTTATTTTTTTCATCCTTTTGGAGGCTGGAAGTCCAAGATCAAGGTGTCAG